CGCTTTGCATGCTATGTTGTGGTTTTGAGCTGCAGCAAGCCCTTTTACCTTCCGATGGGACCATGCCAGGGGTTAGTGGAAGTTTAAATAACGCACATCTTTCGGCGTTAGCAGGATACATGACATGTGACATGCAGTCATAGCATGCAATAATGCGATTTAAAATGCACTTTTCCTGCTGTCGGCAATAGCGTCAGCACCGTCGGACGCACTGTATCCCTGTTGACCGCTTGACCTGATCACGGTCATGCACACATCATACATCTGAATTCCAACTTTACGCGTGCAATATGTGAAACTATCTTTGTCGATGAAAAACATTTGAGGGTGAATGTTCGCGTATCCGCATCACACACCTGAAAAAAACTTGGCAAAAATGTTTTTTTTAGGAGAACTTGGCAAACAAATGCAAACGAACTGAACCATACGATGCGAGCAGCTTTGCACCGAACATTTTCAGACTTCTGTTTTGCCAAGAAAGCTGTTTACGTTAGGATCTTTTCACCTAACGAAACTGACACCGTACGCAGCTTATCTTGACGGACTTTACGCACGCAAACTTGTAATTTGCAAGCAGTCGCCACACCGTCTTTTTATACGTACTTTTGTTGTGCTTTGCAGAAGGTGCCCATAGAGATAAGCCATGACCTAGGCCAAGGTCAGTGCTCTGTGGACATATGATGGTTGTGCATGTAAGTAAGCACTCTTTTCCTCCTAAACAAACACCAAAACTACACAAAAATACCCACAAATTTTTGCTTTTTACGAAAAATAGCAAAACTTGACTTCAGGTAACTGACCTCGTCTTCTCCCCAAAACAATGTAAGAAATTTTAGCTGTAGGTGCTATCGTATTTTATTACTATGACAAGTTTAAACAATGGTAAATGATCAACAAAAAGCTATGTATGGCCAAAGTTTTTTAGGAGCTCACCCCTTTGACCTGATCTAGATCAGTAATCTTGATAAATCAAAACTTCAAAATTACACAAGGATTCCAAGTTGATAGATGAACAGGTACTGACAAGAAAATTCAAAAGCTGGAAAAAACGAAAAATCCGTGTTGCTGTGCACGCTCGTTTTGACATGTGCTCGAAAAGCCGCAGAGGAAGTCAACTTCACACGTCCAGACGCGGATTAAGATCTCTACCAGGTCTCGTGAGTCAGATTATCTGACTTCAAACAGTTGCAAAGCGCATTAGTAAGATTCGACGGCAAGCAATGCCGGAAGCTTAACGCTGCTGTTCCTATAGGAGCACCAGGAATGGAGCGTGATGATGCTTTAAAACTCGTTCTCCAATTCATGGAGCTGGGTTCTGGAACGAGTAACATCAGAAGGAGCACACATTTGATCGGCAGGCCGAGATGTCACGGATCAATGCATTCTAGTATGCGCGTTATTATACTAGCATCCAGTCTGTGCGCGAAGGTAAAGTAGCTATCAGTCCCATGTGCCATACGAGTGTTGATATAGATGGACACGTGATACATGTTGATGCTTTTTGTTTGAATATGTTGATTCTGCAAAAAATATATAACCCATCTTTGTCAATACGTGGAATTTGTCTTCATCTTCAACAATCTTCTTCATATCACATCAGCACATCAGCACATCTTCCAACAAGTTGCACGTTCTACTCAAACACGCTGCTCAAACAGAAAACAAACTAACAAATTGTTCGAGTTTGTTCAAACCACAAATTTGAGAGAATGCAATTGGAGTAATCAAGCAAACAATTGCAACGAGTTATATCTGTGTGGTGCGATAATACCACGGTATTGCTGGTTCACCCGTGCATGAACACCAGCAATCAATCGCGAAGATGTTGATGCTGCAAAGTTTGCCTGAAATGCGTTCTTCAGAAACGTAGACCAGGCTACATTGCGCGAGAGAACGCGTACCAACTATAGACTAAACGCAGCTGTACTGACTACACACAAAAACGCCCGTTGGTTGTTTATTAACGATGCGTTTGATAAGCTGCTTTAAGCGGCCCTTGGTATCCATTCAACACAACAATATAAATCATACCCTGCGCGTTCAGTTTGCGCGTAAAAGTAGGCTGCCTGTTGAAGAATGGGGAGGTTCGGGGCTCACATGTATATGGCTAGTATATCTCTGTGTCACAGGCATATCATTAATGCATGTATGGTGTGAATGATAAAAGTAGTGTTACTGACACCGTGCATCAGCTTACCTATGGCGGCATCGATCGTCGGGCTGCCGCCTCGGTTGAAAAACAAACAGTAGCTGAGGGAATTATGCATGAATGGAGACTGCTGATGAACATTGCCGGCTTTATGCGGTGCTCCGGTGGTATATGCACGAAATCAGAGCGTCCGCGAATAGTGAACCTAATGAGGTTCACTGTTTGATTTCACTACTGAGATCCAATTCTTGAAAGGAATAATAAGGAAAAGGCCAACACAGTACATGACTTTGTCTAACTTAAATGATAAACTGTCAATAAACTGCACGTCGAACTGTTTGTTGATCTCCAATAAGACCATGTTGGAACAAGCCATAGCCACGGATAACCTGCATTCATCACGTTACATATTGTCCCCAAACGAGTTTGCACAAGAGCTCGGTAGTCGGAGCGCCCAGTAGCCCTAATCACCATTACCGAGCGTGCAACTGGGGCCAAATATTAACATATTTGAGCGGGTGAATAGCACGAAATGGCCAGCTGAAGACTGGAAGGTTAGCTTGAGGGCAACATGATATCGTGCATATCCAAAAAGAAAACGGCATAAAGCTTAGAAACCGGGTGTGATATGACGGAATTGGCAACTACCTTTGAGTCGCAACACCCACAAGCCACTGATGCGCACAGCTGCATGATTTTCTGCTGGTCACTTGAGGATCGTGAATAGCCCATTCAATGTGTGCTATTGGGGCTTTACGACGCACGCAGCTGCTAAGACTGTCTGGCGTCGCCTGCCTCTCACCCTGGCAGGAAGGGCGGGCACCGCGGGGAATCGAACCCCGTACATCTAGTTTCCCAGACGCGCAGATAGTCCATTCAAAAACTGATTGCTTAACAGAAAGCCGATTTTACACTTCCTTGAAGACTACCACGCCTAATCACGATTTAGTACCCGACCCTGAGTGAGGCTGTTTTCGGGGTACCGACCTGGATGACATGGCACAGGTCGGTCCGCTCATTTAGCGCCATCCGTATGACGACACGGAGACGCGTGTGTTGGAAACGAGTAAAACAGCGCCAGCTGGTACCACCCCGAAAGAATCTGACATATTTCAACCGTCACTCCGAACTAGGCTGCCAGGCCTGCGTGGTCATCAAGGCTTTCTTTTTACACCGTCCGTGCTCACGCAACTGGCACGGTGGTGGTGTGAAAACTATCTGCGGTGATGGCTCAGCACCTGGCGCCTTTTCTGGAACGCATCACGCGCCATGGCCCCTTTAAAACACCAAATGCTGAGCATCGAATACTCCAATAAGCCTGATAAGGCAGATTGCACCGTGGCCCAAAGGCAGCTGGAAGCCACATTTTCGCAAATAACTGTGGCGAAATAACTGTAGCATTAACTGCTACCAACCCGCTTATTATCACATATTTTCAATTTCGGGCAATGGAATCAGCGTCAAATGACAGAGAGACGTGTGTTATCAAGCCGTAAATATCTGTTGGTGCCAGCGACCGTTCGGTGCCAAGTCACCGTTCGGTGTCAGCAACCGTTCAGTGTCAGCGACCGTTCAGTGTCAGCGACCGTTCGGCTGTCAGCGACCGTTCGGTGTCAGCGACCGTTCGGTGTCAGCGATCGTTCGGTGTCAGCGACCGTTCAGTGTCAGCGACCGTTCGGTGTCAGCGACCGTTCGGTGTCAGCGACCGTTCGGCGCGCCTAGGCGCACCCTGAAGTATCGCAAAGCAGAGGCGGTCAGCACTGACGAGGCTGGCCGGGCGCGATATGGACGCTCATCGCATCGGTCCACGTCTCGCCTGCCGGAAAGCCACGAGGACATCCGTATCGACCACGGAAGCGGAGCGGCGAGCATTAGCTGACTGAGGGGCGGTGCTCGCATGAGATACTGTCACAAGGGGTGGCTATTTCCGGCGACATGCTCTGCGGGGCAGACGTATGACTGTCATCGCGGGTAGACGAGGGCGCTGACGAACCCCACCACGTTGTTCGATGGGTCGTCTGTATGACGAGTCAGCTGTGTAAAGGAACGCTTGCAAATGCTCGCTTGCGGATTTTCCTGCCAGTCTTTAGCTTGCTGTGGTTTCGGGTTAGTCCTGCCTACAACCCGCATCCCTTTCACGCCACAAAGTACCAAATCCTAACACCCCGTGTCACACGCTCTCCAGTCGATCGGCGGCGCGAGGAGGAAAGCACACCCCTGCCTCCATTGACATACACACACACACACACACACACACACACACACACACACACACACACACACACACACACACACACACACACACACACACACACACACACACACACACACACACACACACACACACACACACACACACACACACACACACACACACACCACACACACACACACACACACACACACACACACACACACACACACACACACACACACACACACACACACACACACACACACACACACACACACACACACACACACACACATCGACATGAATAGGACCGGCCGATTACCGAATAGAAAGGCCCACCGCCGAACCGACTCCGCCCGCCCGCCCGCACGGACCTAACGCGGCGTGCGTGAGCCGCCGTGGAGAGAAGCGAATCGACAGAGCTTCGGCTCTCCGGGCCGACGCTGAACGTAGGCCCGGGGCCGACCCGCGGCGTCGCCGTCGGGACGCGTCCTCGCCGCCGAGTCAAGGTCGTCGGCGTCGACGCGGCCCGTCGGCGCCGACGCCGGCGCCCAGTAGCGATCGGGTCGGGTCGGCGATGGTCTGCCCGGAGCGCCGCCGCTAGCACCCCGCGCGACTGCGTCGCTGTGGTCGCTCCACAGAGAGACAGACGTGCGTGGTCTCCATGAGCGAGGGCCAGGAGGCGCGTGGACGCGTGGGGCGCACCTGCTCGCGGAGCTCACACGAGGTGGGAATCGGCCGACGCACGCCGTCCCGCAGACGGGCTTAGTCTTGCACATTTTCGGTGTTGTGCTGTGGTTTGTATGCAGTGTCCATAACGACTGGGTATGCGAGTGGAGCCCTGCATGCCAGGAAACAGCCGCACTGTATAACTGCAAAAAAGCACAAATACTTGACAGCATCTCTAGCTGAACTTTTGAAGGAATCTTCCCTGGAGAAGCTAACAGAAATGCACTGGTGTCCGGGAATATCTAGCCGATATATCCAGAATCGAAAGAGAAGCGAAATATATTAACCGAAGTCATTAGAGCGCAACCGTGCATTAAAGTGCAAACATAGTAAACATGACACATGCTCCAGCCGAGATGCCTTGTGACGTGTTAACAAGCAAGGTTTAGCTGCAGTACCGACACTGATGCCGGCGATATAGTCAATGCAGGCCAGCAATCGATGAGTGTCAGCATAAAAACCCCAAACCCTTAATGGCCAACATTCAGTACCGATCATGTACTAGCTTTGTCAGCCCAATTCCTCTGCCAGTATCACTGATTTCGATTTAGTACTGGTCGTCGGGGTGTGGCACCAAAATCTTGCACCACTGGTGCATACACATCCAATAGCGCGCTGCTGCTCGATGGCCGTGCGCCTATCTCGCAAATGGCTGGGCTTCGGTTACACCGCTGCATTGAGCCTGAGGGAAATCAAAGCCATGGCTAGGGCGGTCACAAACTAATCATTACAAAGGCAGAAAAATGAATATAAAATGAGCTACGATCTCTTACTATGACTAGCAAACCACAAATTTTAGTTGCGTTTTGTTAGTAACGCTTAGCTGAGTGAATCACGAATTTTAGTCACGTGTAACTAGTGACGCTTAGTTGAAAGTGATGTTTAGCTACTCCAATAGCGCCTCCTCCTGCACCACACCAGCGATCCTTTCCACCGAGCGCGTCTCGGTCTGGCAAGCGGCTCGGGGGCGGCCGCGCTGCTGCTGCCCGCTCGACAGCCGCGCTCCGTCCCCTTGTCCGTCGTGCATCCGTCCGCCTCGCTGCAAACTGGGCCAGACGGCGGCCAACGAGCCGGCAAACGCCGACCGACGGCCCGGCTGCGGTCCGACGACTCGAGACGCACGTCCTGCTCCACTGCGGCGGGCCTGGTCCAATGCAGCGGGCCTGCTCCACTGCAGCGGGCCTGCTCCACTGCAGCGGGCCTGCTCCAATGCAGCGGACCTGCCACATTGCGGCGGGCCTGCTCCACTGCAGCGGGCCTGCTCCACTGCAGCGGACGTGTTCCACCGCAGCGGACGTGTTCCGTGGCGGGCCTGCTCCACTGCAGCGGACATGACACATTGCGGCGGGCCTGCTCCACTGCAGCGGGCCTGCTCCACTGCAGCGGGCCTGCTCCAATGCAGCGGACCTGCCACATTGCGGCGGGCCTGCTCCACTGCAGCGGGCCTGCTCCACTGCAGCGGGCCTGCTCCACTGCAGCGGACGTGTTCCACCGCAGTGGGCGTGTTCCGTGGCGGACCTGCTCCACTGCAGCGGACATGCCACATTGCGGCGGGCCTGCTCCACTGCAGCGGGCCTGCTCCACTGCGGCGGGCCGCCACGAACGCTGCGGGGCTTCAGCGGGGGGAGAGGAGGGGGGGGGGGGGGGGGTTACGACCAGGGAGGCGTCGCGCACGCGGTGCAGTGAGCTGCGGTGGGCGCGAGAGCTCGGCGCTCTGATAATAGCGGGTTAAGTATGACTATTTTGATGCACCAAGCTCAACGTCGAGGCCCTCTCGGGTGCATTCAGAAATTAATTGGGTACACGGGTTTGAAGTAAGCAGCCCACTGGACCTGTGCCATGTAGTCAACACACTTGCATAGCCGGCCTTTGATGCTGGGCGCTCAACTAATTCGATGTGTTTCCCATAAGACAACTGCCGCTAGTCAAACCCGGAAGCCAGCGTGTAACAGTGGAACCTTGACACGGCATTGCCCGCAGGGGCTTCCACCATCGTCACCATCACCGTCGCCGTCGCCGTCACCGTCGACGCTGTCGTACCGGGACGAGGTGCGGCAGTACCGGCGCGAGAAGTGCCGCGTGGCGCAGCAGCTGCTGGGCGCAGCGCGCGCTCCCGCGCCGCCCGTGCACGCTGGCTGGCTGAAGGTGCGCGGGACGCTGCGTGGATGGAGCAAGCTGTGGTGCGAGTTGCGCCCCGGCCTGCTGCTGCTCTACAAGACCGAGCAGGCCAAGGTGGGTGGGTGGCCGGGGTCTGAGGGGATGGAAGGGCGGAGTGGAGTGGGAGGGAGAGTGGCGAGGGAATGGACGGCAGAGCGAGGAGTGCAGGAGTGCAACCGGTGCATGAGCGGGGAGAGATGGTACGAGGAAGAATGGAGACTCGGTCAAAGAGAAGTGGAGGAGCAAGGCGAAGACAAGAGGGTGAGTGATGGAAGGGAAGCGGAATAAGGAGACAAGAAGGAGTTAATAATGGACAGAGGAGGAGCACGGAGGGAGTGAAAAGTGGTGTAGAATGTATTGTATGTTCTTAGGTGCTGATGGTGGATCACAATGAGCAATCTAAGCAATCGCGGGTGTGGGCTGAACATGAGGATCACCTTGCTATCTGACCATAAACAAGCAAACTTGTGGTCATAATTACTACGGTCTGTTGCACTGCATGGGTAAAAGATGAATGAGCTAACCACCTCGCTGAACTTGTAGAGTCAACTTGAGTGCGTGGTCCATTCGGCAGAGAGGATATATGGTTGCTAAATGACCGTTGCAGCTGGCGCGTCCTAAAACACCAAAACACAACAACATCGGAGTAAGAAGCCCAACGTGCTCAAAACATCCCAATGTCCACAACGCAATGTGCCGTCTCGGTGCGTCGTTGTAGTAATCTAGGCGTGTAGTGGGCGACTAGACTGACGAATAAATGACTAGGCCGTCATGGAAATCTAAGGAGGGATTTCTTATGCATGGACCTTGGCGGCTGATTCGTTTTCCAGTCACGCACTGGTCCACTACAGTTCCTGACATTCCGAAAAGGAATGTGCGACGGCGTGTGTGTGTGTTGTGTGTGTGTGTGTGTGTGTGTGTGTGTGTGTGTGTGTGTGTGGTGTGTGTGTGTGTGTGTGTGTGTGTGTGTGGGTGTGGGTGTGGTGTGTGGGTGTGGGTGTGGGTGTGGTGTGGGTGTGGGTGTGGGTGTGGGTGTGGGTGTGGGTGTGGGTGTGGGTGTGGGTGTGGGTGTGGGTGTGGGTGTGGGTGTGGGTGGGGTGGGTGTGGGTGTGGGGTGGTGTGGGTGTGGGTGTGGGTGTGTGTGTGTGTGTTGTGTGTGGGTGTGGGTGTGGGTGTGGGTGTGGGTGTGGGTGTGGTGTGGGTGTGGGTGTGGGTGGGTGTGGTGTGGGTGTGGGGGTGGGGTGTGGGGGGGGGTGTGGGTGTGGGTGTGGGGTGTGGGGGTGTGGGTGTGGGTGTGGGTGTGGTGTGGGTGTGGTGTGGGTGTGGTGTGGGTGTGGGTGTGGGTGGTGTGTGTGTGGTGCGGTTGTGGGTGTGTGGTGTGGTGGTGTGTGGTGTGTGGTGTGTGTGGTGTGGGTGGGGGGGGGGGTGTGTGGTGGTGTGTGGGTGTGTTGTGTTGTGTTGGGTGTGGTGTGTGGTTGTGTGTGTGTGTGTGTGGTGTGGGTGTGTGTGTGTGTGTGGTGTGTGTGTGTGTGTGGTTGGTGTGTGGTGTGGTGTGTGGGTGTGTGTGTGTGTGTGTGTGTGTGTGTGTGTGTGTGTGTGTGTGTGTGTGTGCGCGTGGACGCCTAGGTGTGCGAGGATTGTAAACTTATAAAGACTACATCGTCATGTGAGCAAAATTTGGTGGGATCAGCAGACTTGACGAAGGTTGTGACTAGAATCTCCTCACCGCGCTCTGCACACCTAGACACAAATATCTCATTTCGCCCAGGAAACCATTCATAACTGCACAACACAATCAGGCAGGGCCGCTGTAGCACGCCGATGTCAACAAACCACGTTTTCATGAAATCAGCTGCTGCCAAGACCAGACGACATGCATCCTTTACATGAGTCGGTGACGTGCCATCTTGGATAACAATCCACTAATTGCGGGCGCACTCCATCGCTACGAGTGAGTAGGATCGCGCCGCGTTACCAGCCCAGCGCCAGCCACAAGCACAGCTATCGCGCCGTTTTACCAACGTAGCGTTAGCCACGAGCACAGCTATCGCGCCGTTTTACCAGCCTGGCGCCAGCCGCGAGCAGAGCTATCGGGAAGTGCCGCCCAGGTCGCGCTCAGAGCCACTCATCGACCGGCTCTCGCCGGGCGCCGGCTGCCGCACCCCGATACAGGAGACCGGGCCCTCAACCCCAATCAATGGAGGACGACAGAAGGACGGCGACTGGTGCGATATTGACTGCGGCACCCTGCCGCGTGTGGCTGTGCACGGGCCACACTGCGCCGCTGGGCACAGGCCATACTGCGCCGCTGGGCACAGGCCTCTGTGGTGTGCCCCCGCCGCGGAGAGGTCATGCCAAGGTCAAAACTTGATAACGTTGTAGACATTGTAGAGTAACACTGTAACACACTGTAAATTACATTGTAGAGTACAAGTGAACGTTTCGCGAAAGGTCGACAGGATAGATAAAGGGGAGAAAGAGCAAAATTTTCCACGAGGGTTCGATTTACTGACGCTTGCTTCTCCACGAAGCTAATCCTTTCAAATCCCCCAACATCTAAGGAAAAGATTGACCCACGTAAATGCATCTGATTCAAATGCATGGAAAGATGCACGCGCCCGATCGCCGACTCATATTTTACCCATCTTCCTTTTACGAGCCAATAATCCATTACGTTTCCATATCCCTTGGAAATTTGAGCCTTACGCTGGGCCCCAAGGAAGGCCAGGCGATACTAGTGTCTGTATTACTGCTGCTACTTAAATCGTAACGTTGTAGCGCTGTAAATGAAAGAAAAAGACGACATGTGACCATCTGTCTGTCGCGTGATATTTCTGTAGATTTGCAAGCTGCTTTATAGAATCATACGTTTCGTCTCATTTTAGAAATAAAGTTAGAACTCTTCTTTGATAGGCTATGGGTCACTTCAAGGCTGAACGTACCCAGCGTTTTTAGTAAACTTTCCGAGTGTCTAAGTGTCACTGCAACCATTGAATAGATCGGCATCACGGCAAAATGGCAGCAGACGCCGACAACGGGTGCAGCTGTACCCGCGTCTGGCGTCCAAAAGCGCTGTAAGGTGTCCTGTGCGGCTTGGGAGCAGAGCGGGGATAACGGGCGGGAGTGTTATCGGTGGTATCACATCGATGATCCACTAAACAGGGGTAATGGGCAAGACACCTCCAGTGATCCATAAAATTGGGTTTAATCAACGTGTTACTACGCACCTGTCATCATGGTTTATCAAGTGGAGAGCTGTGGATGTGGCCCTCGGGCGCTAGCTCGTAAATAAGCTCATTGACACTTTGCTGACCCTTGGTCCGATCTGGACTGGCGACAGTAATCAATAGTGATGGCTTCGAAATAATTTACGGTTTTGGCAATCGTAAGCAATATTTTCGAAGCATGCTGATGCCTGATGTGGAAAATGGCCATTGAAAACAGAACAATACGCAAGTCCAGTTACCATTGCCCGTTGCCTCATCAGGTTCATGCAACAGCGTCTGGTATTTGAGACGGGCTTCAGGAAATGTACCCTTGACTCCCTTTCAGTCGGTTGCTGGCACGGCCATGGGCCAGGCAGTGTTGACGGCTGATAGTGAGTTGTATCCGGCACATTCACCTGTACCATGCAGCTTGTCACGCGTCTCCACGCTCTCTGGCCACTGCGATCCTACAGCAATCTTTACGAACGCCCCGTAGCAGGCGGGTACATGGTTTGAGCACAACGCATGCAGCAGCAGCAGCAGCTCAGCACACAGCGATACAGTTTCCGCCGGCGCGATTGTCCGTCTTCATCTCCGTTGGTGTTAGTTTGTCTCGTGTCGTTGCGATTCCGAGTGGTCAGGCTCTCGACCCGATTTCGACCCATGTTCTTCAGCTTTCTCGCAACGAGAAGATGTTTTCCTGTTATGGTGATCAAAAAGGGAGCGAAAACATTGGTGATCTGGCGATATGGCATAAAAGTCTGCCAAGTCAAATATTTCACGCGTAAATGGCTATCGGCTACAGAGAAAACACTTTACAGCATTCGCGCCAGTGTCGCTGAAACTGCACAATCCTGCAAGAAGGGGTCGCGAATATATTATCTTTTAGAAAGGGTGATGACCGAGAAGTCCGGGCCTCTGAAGTTGTAAACATTCCTACAGTCATACATTTCCAGTGACCAGGTATACATTACTCGCACTACAGCCTGGCACCTAATCAGTGGATTAGAACATCCATCCTTCATGACCTGAGCGGCCAAAAACGGTAACTTATGTATGGCGTTGCGTGCGAATGGCATGTCTGAAATTGGCGGCCTCTGTGCCTCTGTAGACTTCGCGATTTCACAACCGTAATCTATGAAATTGACCCATTTTGTATGACTTGCGGTTTCGGTGGCTGACAAAGGCATTGTGAAAAAGAACCATTTTTTCCTGTGGTTGTTGATCCCGGTGCACAGGGGTTCACGCTTGCATGGTGGCCACGGCTTCTGGGCTCCGGCCCCGACGTGTTAGTGGCGCCCGTGCCTCCACGTGAATGCATTGATCACTTCCGGTCCACGACTGGCGTCGTCGGTCATCGACCGGTGGGTCGGCCGATGTTAATTGGTCACTTCCGGTCCACGACTAGCGCCGTTGGTCATCGACCGGTGGGTCGGCCGATGTTAATCGATCACTTCCGGCCTACAACTACCGCCGTTAGTCATGAACCGGTGGGTCGGCCGGTGTAAATTGATCACTTTCGGTCCACGACTAGCGCCGTTGGTCGTGGACCTGTGGGTCGGGTGGTGTTAATTAGTCACTTCCGGTCCACGACCACCGCTGCTGGTCGTGGACCGGTGGGTCGGCCGGTGTTAACTGGTCACTTCCGGTCCACGACTATCGCTGCTGGTTGTGGACTGGCGGATCGGCCGGCTTGAACTGGTCACTTCCGGTCCACGACTACCGCTGCTGGTGGTGGACCGGCGGGGTTGCCGGTGTTAAGGTCGCGTGGCGGTTTGCGGACAGTATATTGGGGTCCACCGTGCAGTTTGCCTTATGTCTTATCGCTTTTTGATGGCGAGATGAGTTCTGGCGGTCAAATCAGGCAACTTTTCAGCCTGGGACATGCATTCAAGTGAAAAATGGATCTTGCTGCTCGACCATGTGGACTGCAGAAAACAGCCGACTTGTTTACGTTGAAAATGATCCACTTCCGTTGGTTTCATGTGAACACAGACTATATGCGTTTGAAACGGAGCCGATTGTATTTCCCTGGAATGTCGGACGCCGTTGATTTACCGGGCCTGAATTCTAGCTCAGGGTGTGCAAATGTCTGATTTTCTAATACCAAAGCCTTCTGCCTTTCGTGTATTGTCAGGTGCATTGATGTTTGCTACAGGCCAATACGCTCCTTAACATGTTCTTAGACCATATTTCTAATGCTCAAAACCTCACAAACAGGTAAAATGATGTTTTGCGATGCCATGCGTCTGTCGTGTTAGGTTTCTGTGGGAACACCCGCTGCGTATATTTCATAGCCCAGTGCCCAAAGCTACATGATTCTAACTCTTCCCACGTTTGCAGTAATAAAACACATGGACGTGACAATCGCAAAAGACTAACGGCACATGCACAATAGCTGACAACACGGCCGTATGCGCTTTTGGCAGCCGTATTCTCTCATCGTAACGCCTTCATTCATACCGCCCCACATTGCCATGTCTGCATGCAAATCATCAATCACCGTGCAAGCTGGCTGACGCCCTAGTTTGATGTCCGCGCAGAGGAGTCACTGGGTGGGCACGATCCTGCTGACCAGCTGCCGGCTGATCGAGCGGCCCAGCAGGAGGCAGGGCTTCTGCTTCAAGCTCTTCCACCCGCTGGAGCGGAGGATCTGGTCAACGCGAGGACCTGATGGCGAGACAGTAGGTCGGTAGACTATTTTCATCTGCAAAATACACCCCTCCGGCGACGTGTACGGTGTATATCACCTCCCGTTCGATTTTGGTTAGACTGACTGCGATGTGTACGTCGCCGTGACAGGCACCGGTGTTCCCGTGCTACAAGCCTGTGGTAACCTCCAGTCACCGGCGCTATGTAGCAGCCATGCCCCATGCTGTTTTACTACATCAACTCTGATGGCTGCGATAAAGCAAGTGAAATCCACAGCATGCAGGGTTATGGCCAGCGTGTGGCAGCGTTGCAGCGTTGAGCGCCGCGACCGGCGGCCTGCCCTGACCGGCTGCAGACTTCCGTGACGCGCTGACCCCGGTCGTCCCAGGAGCTGTGGTCCCGCCGCTGCCCCAGGGCTCGCTCATATTCCGCTCGGCTACGGAGGGCGCGACCCGAAGCTGGCTGCACGCGCTGGAGCTGTGCATGACCTGGTCACCAGCGGCACAGTGCGCCCGGCAGGTCACCGGCACACAGCGGACGACAAGTGGGTGTCGGCTGCTGACAGCTTGTCCATGCCATGCCAGTTGGGCGGCTGTGTGTAGGGAAATAGCTGAACCGGGTGTAGTTTGGTAAAGCACGCACAATAGCGTAAGTGAAGGAGTTTGTTCAGAAACACCTTTTTTGTCTAAGAGCATGCGGAATGGATATGTTTCAATGTAAACTGTCATACGCCGTCATGTTCTGGTGTAGTTAATCCCTTTACACATGAGTAGTCTTTTAAATGTCAGTGCCAGTGGAGATCGTGCTGTAAGTCTTGTTAATTCCCCATTCATGAATTCAGTTGCTTAGTATGCTTAAAGCTCAGTGATGTACATTGATTTTTAGCACTTTTATATCGTGATTAACGAGGGAGAAAAAAATAGCACTCATGATCATGGGAGAGTAAAGCACGTGCCGCAGATGGCACATAAATAAGCCAGAAATAGCCAGCCTTTAATACGTGACCTGACTATAATTAAAGACTGACCGATGCACAGCCAGCCAAAAGCCCACCACCTGATCCCGTTCTGGCCAATGACGGGCGCATGAAGTCAGCCGAGCACACACCCGTTAATCGCCACTTACTAGGAACTAACTGCAGCGCAGACAGTCAAGTGTGAAGCACGATCAGCGACGTGTCAATGGCTTACCCACGGTTTTCGTAGATACGGTTGCACCATTAGCGTCAGCTGTTGGACTCCGGTTTAGTTTCGAATCTCTGGTCAGGCAAAACAATTAACGAATGTCGTGCCATGTCTCGTGTGTTTATGTGATGTCTGGCTCAGTACGTGTTCGATATTGGCAAACATATCAGAAATGAATGCATCAATGAAGAGATCGGTCAAGCAGCGAGCTGAACATGTGTGCATAATGTGACCTGTTAGGCCTATCACGTGACGTCGGCCTATGGTGGGAAACGAAGGCGTGCATGAACATCTCTATTGATGTTGAACACTCCGATGTGTTTTGCCTTGTTATCTCGTTTTAAAAATGTATCATTTAAACTGCCAAGTGTGGTCCGAACAATATTACTATACGGCGAAGTTAAGTTCTATATTTTCAAGTTTTCCATCCTCATTTCCATCCATCCTCACCTCATAACGCAGGTCTTTTAAAGACGTCGTTTTTATGATGCTTTTAAGAAATCATTCTCCGGAGATATTTATATGATTACGTTGTGTATTCCAATTGGCTTTGTCGCTTCATCTCTTCTGAGGTGTCATTGGCACAGGATGTTATATTGCTTATCATTTGTACTCAAGCATGCGTGGTATATTTTGGGTATTGGTATTGTAGTGGTTAAGCTGTGCGTCTGACGAACCAGAGGTGCGGGGCTCGATTCCTTGCGGCGCTCGCCGACCCTGCCAGGGTGAGAGGTAGGCGACGTCATATATCTTCAACGAGTGCGTCATAAAGCCCCAATGACGAGGAGGACGACGCATATGTCCAACCTTTTCCAACCCGCTGATACCTGGTACGCTTCTGAATCTGACATCTGACATCGCTAACAGCTGGTACGCTTCTGACATCGCGATTCTGTGGCGCAAGCGAACACAGAACTTCGAAATCGTGATTAATTTCTGACGAACTACGACCATGTGACTTTTTCAATCAAAACTTTTAGCACATATCTAACGGCCTGTCCAAAATATGCGCGGCTAACAGCGCTTCCACACAGACTGGCCACTCTTGCTCCGTCTGAGGCAGGCTTGGGCTGAATCAGCTGCACTCAACTTAACCAGTGAGAGTAGCAAAGCCGCGCATAATTGGCCGTAGCTATGCTGGCTCTCCACACCAACACTTGTTGAAATTGCAACGCTAGGAAATGACAAGCCGAGCCCACTTACGCGGCTTTGCACTATCATATGCAGAGCACCGTGAACCTGAAGCGGGGTAGAGCATAGCCCCGGCCCTATGTTGACTAATTCATTGCAACTCTATGCATACGCTACACCGTCAGTCACGCACAATGTGCCAAGCGAATAGTGTTGGAATCGTTTCCTGTACCGTTCCGGTGTCGGTTAAGCGTTCTCCTTATTCTTACACCCTGGGTGTTTTAACACCCAGCCGGTTTTCTGGTTAAAATGTTGGAACACGACTTATCACGTATTCGTACATGAACAAGGACTGATAAAAGGAATGGTATCGTGCCGGCAAGAAAGGAGTAAAACGTAGCAGTCACAAGCGCCGAAGAAACACCTTAGCAGTGCGAACCACACAGGGAAAACTACCATCACCGACTATCCTTCGGCAATCACATTTTATTCCGGCAAGTCCGGGATGAAATGTATAAGTCCTTACATAGTTGAAGCGCGGTCGTCTCCTTGGTGCTTCTGGTGAAAGAGTATGGGAGAAATTCCAACAAACCAGGCCTTTCATAGCGCTGCCCCCGCCGGAAGAGTGGTCGAAAGTGGTTGGGTAGGTCATCTGGCCCGATGTTGACAAAAATGCTAGGCCCCTGTATTTCCCTAAGAGTGGGTTTCCGTGGCCCGGATAAACGTGCGACAGCTGGCCACGACGCGGTGCCATGCCGAGGTGCAGGTTGCGTGGCGACACCTGGCTCCCGCGCCCGCGGTCGCGTGGTCTCGGTGCTGTCCCGTCCCCACGGGCGGCCGGTCGTCGTCCCTGAGTCCAGCCGACGCATCTCAGGTCCGATATTGGCCGTCGCTTTGATGTTCATATCAGGCTATTAACGGAGAAGGCTGACCAGGTCAGTGACGGCTCCTGTTTCCGTGGAAAGGCTATATTTTCCTCCCCTCCGTCTTTGCCCGACCTTATCCCCGTGATCGGTGGCGAAAACAGCCTCAAAATGTCAAAGCAAGCCCATCCATTTTCTGGATGGAATCATTAAATTAACGCGGCTTAAAAGACTGCTAAGTGCACATTATCAGAAACACTTTCTGACAAGAAGTCGCTGGCAGCTGGTGCTACGCCTAACCAAACGTTCTCTGCCCAAGCTCGTTTGATGTTGATAGACCCTGCGGCGTAATCCAAGACATGGAGGCGTGCGTGCTGCCGATGATAAGCAAGCTCTGTCGCGCCTTGGTTCTCCAAGGTTTCCATCATTTGTACGAGTTCAGCAGCTGAAGGGCCTTTATGGCCTTCGGTTGCCATTGAGGAGAGGACATTGGAGTTGAATGACCCCTCGTCGTACTCGGACAGACCGATCCTCTTCCAGTCTGACGAGACTGGTTGGGAAGACTGAAAGACTGGAAGGCGTCTCCATCGCTTTAAAAAGCCGCACTCAAGAGGCCCGAGGGCGCTGCACTGCCCAGCTGGGCGGGGGTTTGGCGTGCCACCGCAAGACTCGCTGAACTCACCGGCAGTTGCAGCTCCACAGGGGGCGGGTTGTTATTGCTCGCGAAGCGGACGCGGGTGCTGCTGAGAAGCGATCGCACACGGGGCGAAGCAGTTCAGCCTTCTATCAGTGAAGCTTAGCACCGAAGCCATGATACATTTTCAGTAAGATGTCGACCCCTAATTCGCGGTTGCATGAGGTATCAGGGCCAAGGAACCGAAGACAAAATTTGAAGAATACAAGATTTAGGAGACGAGCATTAAGCAGAAGAGCAGCCTGGAAGAGACGGGGAAAATCACATGACCATGACCCTGCCTCCATCATTTCATCCCATCAGTCATCACTCAGATCAAGGAGCTTGGTGCGTATTGCGTACCACATTGAGCAACTGGACGTTACTTCCATTCAGCTTGGAGACAGCGATAAAGGTATCCAGAGCAAACAATGGTGCGTTGTCAAATGCCACATTCAGCGTGACTGCTGTTAGTTAATGATCATTGTTCCAACACAAATGCCAGTTATGAGTCAAGATTCAATGACATTCAAAACTCAGCAATATCATAGCAATTGAAGGCCTTGCACGGTCACAGTGGCAAAATGACTTGCTGCCAGATGTCATAGGGAGGGTCAAGAGCAGGCCAATGCGCTGGTGGCACCTGTCCTGTTTCATACGCGTGCTCTGATGTAACTAACAATCAGTATGGTCACCTGCTGTCGAAAACCACACATGACAGCTAAACTATTCACGAAAATTTTTTTTTGAAATCGGTCGTTCCTCAAATCTAGCCCCAAACCAATGCAAAATTCCTGCACAAAGCAACGGATGAAACTTATCTGGCGTTGACAATGGGGCCGTGGAGTCTCGTATCTACAGCTTTTCTTAGCATTCGTAACTTGACTCGTTATTTTTCGGTTTGGTTTGTTTCGAACAGCTGAGCGCGCGATAAATCATATCCAGAAAATTTGAAATTTACCGAAGCATATTTTGGTTACATCAAATTAACCACACATCTGAAAGATTGGGCAGGTAAAATATGACAAAATAACATCACAGTGGAATTTGGTTTGTGTGTTATTGCTTTATTATTTCGGGCAGCTTCTGCCAATATTGGCCCTACTATTCAGTCCAAGATTATGTAGGCTGCTAAGCGCATTTACGAGTAATTTTAGGAAGACGAGACCAGTTGATATTTCGGAAACATGCCTTTATGGAAATGAATATCAGTAGCGACTAGACATGGCGCAAAATTTGCCAGTTCTCTTGCCTGAGCTTTGAGAAAATGAATCGGGGTCCGGCAGCTGACGCCAGGGGCAGAACCATGGGCTTACCAATGTCCGCGAATAAAGCTAGGTATCTTTTCATTGGCTGGCTGATCAATGTCGGTCAAACACTTATCGCGTGACAAGCTATTCGTCAAGGGCTCGAGCCGATTGCTGCTGCGCTGGCGGCGGTAACTCTCAACATCATTGGACATTCATTTCGTTCAGCTCTAGCGTGAAAGGCCAGTTTTGGACCGACCGGAGCCCCCCCCCCCCCCCCCCCCCTGCTGCCACCAGGCTTCACCGGAGGAATGCGGGCCGCCAAAAGGCGGATGCAGCACCAAATCTTGAAGCGAGCCACGTTCTGGAGTCAACATTCGTTCCCCGAAAACCAAATATCTGCGCATGCGCTGTCCTGCGACATGTGCCTACCCAGCTGACGTCCCTCGAATACGCCTCACACCGAAAGCTCCCTTTACCCAGGACTCGGTCAAGAGCGAAAGCCCGTCGACAGCGAAAATGTACTTTGGCCATCTTGGAACTTAAACACATTCCTCACGTGTTTTTCATAACAAGGCGAAGCGATTATTCTGCGATAGATATCCGTGATTTACATAACGACCTTGGCTAGCATGTAGTTCGCATTCGTTTTGAAGAAGTGGTGCGGCGTCTTTGCCACCAGAAATGTCGGCAGCTTTAAGCAAACGTTGTGTAATTTTGTATGGATTTCCGCAGATCATGCCACATCTCTGCTATTTTCGACTGCTTGACGTAGACTCTAAATTTGGGAATGCTTCGAGGCCACCGCGCCGGGCACAAATCGCTCCCTCCAAGACGCATCATTTAAAATTCCCAGCACGCGTACTGATTAAACGACTCGTGCTCCAATTTCAAGGCATCTTTTTCCGAGCGAGATAAAAAACTAACCGGAAAACGCTACTCTGGGTGAAGGCTTGGCGGAAGCATTCTTTGATCCGCAGGTTTAAGGCTCCGCGAAAAAAACACGTTACGAGCTACAGGTGGCCGGATCCGCTTCCCAGATGCGAGTGGCGTCTGAAAGCCACCAGACGTTGTCGAGCTCCCGTTGCAGTGGCTGGAGCTGGAGCTGGAGCCTTAGAGCTTAGAGCTGGAGGAGGCTTGACATCGTTATCACCAGTGTATGTCTTTCGCTTGCAAGGGCGTGTGCATCTGGAGGATGTTGCAGTTAATGTTTAGATGCTGAATCGAAGCTTGTCGGGCAGTCGGTGATAGACATTTTGAGCAGCATCGATTGAACCTGGGTTAGCTAAGCTTTCTTGACCTGACCTTGGCTAGAGCCGCTGACCGACGTCGGACCAGTGCCCGCGGTCGACGAAGACTCGCCGCCTCAGACCGGGACCGGCTCGTCGGAGGGCGTGGAAGAGGACGAGCATGAGCGGATGACTCCCGAGGTCCCCGACGGCAGTCAGCTGCCGCCCGAAACGCCTTACGTCGAACAAGAGCCACTTAATTTGGTACGCTCCTCGCGCGGCACCTGTGCTATGGATGTAACAGGTGTAAGCCGCTGTTGTTGATATTCTACCTGCCTGGGCTCTGTTTAGTCATGTTGTGTTCACACCTGAATGCATAGAAACTAGAATGTCAGAGTGTGATTTTACCTGGCAACGTGCCTGTGACACCAGCACCTTGAGTGAATGGGCCAATAGCCTAACTTTTGAACTCTGCTCTTGCATCAAAGTACAATGAACAAAACTCTCTACCATTGAGCTCTGTTAAAATTGGTCCCATTTGGTGTGCCTGGAATAAAGAATAAGGTGGAAGGGCGCACACGGGCTTTTTGCGGGAAAGCATGCCTTGCGAGGCGAGTGCTGGTATTCCAGATTTCAGAAAGTAGCAGCTCTAACGCTTATCCATCTCCGTTTCACTGGGGCCAACCACACTCTATTAGATCGTTCCATTACGCTCACGGTCTCCAGAAGCACTGTTAAGCGATACATGTCATAAAGTGATAGAGTGCTGGCCTCTACAACTACCGAAAGACCTGATGTCGAGACACGATACTAGGCCGCGTTCCGCCCTCCAACACCACAGAGACACACAGTGCAACAGAGCTCACAACCGCAGCGTTCCGCCCTCCAGAGCCACAGTGACGCACAATACGACAGGGCTCACAACCGTAGCGTTCGCCCTCCAACGCCACAGTGACACACATTACGACAGAGCTCACAACCGTAGCGTTCCCCTTCGACACTACAGCGACACACAGTGCAACAGAGCGTACAGCCGTAGCGTTCCGCACTCCAACGCCACAGTAACACACAGTGCAACGAAGCCTACAACCGCAGCGTTCCGACCCCCCCCCCCCCCCCCCCCCCCCAACGCTACAGTGACACACAGTGCAGCAGAGCTTACAACTGCAGCGTTCCGCCGTCCAACGCCACGGTGACACACAATACGACAGGGCTCACAACCGTAACGTTCGTCCTCCAACGCCACAGTGACACACATTACGACAGAGCTCACAACCGCAGCTGCAGCTCGGCTTGTCGCAAACGGGTCCCGCCTGGCTTACGGGAGATGACGCTGAGCGGCGTGCCACAGGCCGGCCGGGTCGGTCACAGCCAGACACAGGAGCTGGCGGACGAGCTGAAGAGCCTGGTGTGGACGCTGATGAAGCAACTGCGGCCCGGCATGGATGTCAGCCGTATTAAGCTGCCCACCTCGGTGTTCGAGCCGCTGTCCTTCCTGGTGATGACTGCCGACTGCGCCAACCACGCCGATTGCCTGAGCAGGTGACCGCGGCGGCGTGCCCCTCCCCTTCACCCCCGTCGCACCGCGAGTGGCCGCGTCCAGGTGCACTGGGCGGACAACATAGACCTTCCAATCACGGAGCACTTTGAACGAGTCGGCCGAAACAAGTGCCACGGGAGCACTGGTGTAAAGGTCGCCAGACATCGATGACCTGGATGTTTGCTTGCAGGGATTAGGTCAACCAAAGCTTGTGATTCCTCAAAGAGGCGTTTCAATCTCGCGTCGTTGCAAAACGAGACAAAAATTTTCATTTGTGAGCACAAAGTTTTGGTCTTCTGTGCCGCAACGTATGGTGTACGTATGTACCTTGAAAGCAGTTTGTAGGCTTGACCAAGGGCCAAACACGACCAAACGTTTGTGTATGATGCAGTCAGGTGTGGTCAAAGTTCGGTATGCAAGCAATCACTCATGCACCGTGAGCTATGTTCCTCCAAAAATCCCCGTGATTGAGAATGCGGGTAATACAAAGTCAGCAATACCACGACGCAAGTTATGCCTAACATGACCTTCTTTGAACGTTGGCCGCTGTGACCTGGCAGAGCTCAACAACTGCCTCATCTCCACTGACCTCATCTCCACGCGACAGGGCGGCACAGATGGGCGACCCTTACGTAAGGATGAAAGGGATTGTCGAATGGTACTTCAGCATGATGTGCCAGAAGACCATGCGTCTGAAGATACCATACAAGCCGATTATCGGTGAGACGTTTCGATGTTTCTGGAAGCACCCGAATGGTTCCAGGACGTATTACTTCGCGGAACAGGTCAGTGGGACAAGTAGCCATGAGACAAGGCATGCTTGAAACACAAGAATTGCTCTGAACTGGCAGCTTGTACCCTGATACGCATCAACATTATCCAAAGGTAATCAGTGTCCATTGTTTTGATGGAATGAGCACAACTGTATTGCATGGCCATTATATTTTTAGCTTCTTTCGGTGTTCAGATATCTCATGAGCAAACCGCTCCCTTAAAATGGATGTTTGGTGCCATACCCCAAGTTGTGAATTCCTGTTTTGCCTGTTCGCAGATATCACGGCACCCTTGGAAAACTGCTGCCTTCATTTCCAACAGACCGGACGACTTCTGTATATTTATTACCGCAAGCATAACGGGAAGATTTTATGGTAAGGTGAAAGCTTAGTCTAAGCTGCCAGTCAAAAGGTGACTCGATGAACACAAATTTAAGTAATTAGTACGCTGCAGCGAACACAACATGCCGTCCTTAGACTTCTGGATCAGCGCTCAACTGAGACGGAGAGGTGTCACTACGCTGCCCAGGGATCGACGTCATGATCACGTTGCTTTCGCGTCTCGTGTCAGGCCGCCGAAACCATGTACTAATACTTATGTCGTACCTCGCGGCTCCTCAATCCAATGGAGAGAACACCAGCCGCACCAGTCCACCTCCCATTCCGTTTCCCGGCTGTCAAGGTTCCCGAGCGGGGAGCGGACCGGCAGCCGAGCTTCGGCTCGAATCCGATCCGGGCTGTCGGGGAGTGGCCGGCCGGTGTCTGACCGACGCCCTGGACCAGGCAACTCGGCAGCGGCCGTGCCAGAAGGAACGCTGACGGTGCGGCTGCTCTCGCGGGAGGAGGAGTACCACGTGACGCTGCCCCACATCCTGTGCAAGAGCTTGCTGATCGGCACCGTGTCGCTGGAGCTCGGCGGCAAGGCAGCCATCGAATGCCCGCGCACCGGCTACGTCGCCGACCTGGAGTTTAAGCTCAAGGTGGGTAGCAGGGGACGCCGGCGACGCGCGGGGCCCTGCAGTCAGGCGCCGGAGCGCTGCGGTTCCTTGGCTGCTGACGTGTGGTCCAGATTCACGGCGGTTAAGTGCACGCACGCCATTTTGTAGTCAGAGCTCTGATTTCACCCACTCGCTCATCCATTCATGCATTCATCTATTCGTTTGTTGTTCCGTTCGTTCGTTCTTTTGTTCCTTCGTTAATTCATTCACTGATTTCATACATGCAGCCACTTGATGCGCATTGATCTCTTCGAAAGGTCACGACAAATGGAATAAAGCAGAAGAACTGTGTTCCATGACACGCTATATAAAGAAAGGCGCATTCAGGATTAAGTGCTCCACACAATTACGATTCTTGATAACCGCATGAGCACACAACTGCAACCGTGAACGAGAGACCACAACGACCTGCGCTGCGAAGCCGACTGCCTGACGCACACGCCAGTGTGGGAAGCATGACAGGCAGCCGCGCTCCGCGGTCAGCAAAGGGAGCTTCACAAGAGGGACCACGCGTCGCGACATTGGACTGAGTGAGCCCAGCAGGGGACGGCGCTCAGCTAACGGGCTCCGACAGGCTTTAAGGGGCCGTCCTCTGGGCGAAGTCCTGGTCTGACTGAGTCCTGGTCTGACTAGTCAGAACCCCATCAATATTCTGCCTCCGGGCGGCACTCTCCTGCCGTTGGCAGTGCGGCTGTGCCAGTCACTCGCTGTGGCCAGGATGTCAAGTGTGATGTGATGGATGAGAGGCCATGCCTTGAAAATAGTTCCCATCTTATCTCATCCTCCTGTCCTCCCTGGAGACGAAAATTAAGCGGCCGCAGCTGCTAAACCAACCGCATTTGGGAAGTGCGGGGAGGGGGGGAGGAGGGAAGCTAAAATATAACGTGCTATGTGATGACTTGGCCGTAGTTTCCCACCATTGCATTTGCGAACCTTATGACTGACGACCTGCCCTGACTGCCTTGACACTGACCTGACGCTAATCTGACGTTCGGCGGTATTTTCAGTCCATGTGGGCCGGTCCCAGCGACTTCAACAAGGTCGCGGGCAGGATCCGGCTGGGCCAGCAGACTCTGGCCACGATTGACGGCAAGTGGGACGGCGACGTGTTTCTCACCGACAAACACACGAACGTGAGTCAACCGGAAGGTGGCATTACAGCTTGGTGCGTCACCTTCCGGCCGCTAATGCTGCTCGTGATTTGAGCAGCACCCGAGAAAGGTCCAAGAATAGATGGTCTAACGAGGCGTCACAGCTCTGCCAGCCATAGATGTTGACGGCGTTCCATTTCTACGCCAAGCGCGTTATTTCTTTTGCATGTGTTACTGCCTCATGTGCCTAGGTTTTACCCGTCGTCATGAGCACCCAATGCCTCGTCGCCACGACCTCACCTTACACCACGACCAGTCGGAGCCCAGCAACCCGTCCAGCTGCCGGTAACAGTTTGCGGCCTATCGATTTGACACCAGCGGTCTGGGCTCTCATGACCCGCCCAACCAACGAATGGAAATCCATATATGCCACCGCACCGGGATGATGTATAAACAATGCAGCACACATGGCATGAGCTAACCAGGGTGCGGGGCGGGGTAGGGCGTGGTCAGCTGCAGTGCTGTGTCGGACGCCGGGACATTCCTATAATAAATGAGCCTGACGGGTCGACAGTGGCATCCACTGGCCCGGTGACTGACGTGTCTCTCCTGTCTTAGTACTTTGGCATGTCGGCAAGAATCCGGTCGCCATTCGGGGGCTGCGTGGCGTGGAGGGCGCTGGCCGCGTGTTTCGCTGCTCGCGGATTGACGGATGGCGGCACCTGAGCACTGGGTCTCTGAATGGCGGGGCTGCGAGGCTCGCGGTGCCTAGGTGGTAGTCTGTGGGGCTAGGTGGCCTGAGTAAGAGCGACTAGGCACCGCCCAACAAGTGTTTAGTCACGTGATTTGCTGACTAATGCTACCAACCAGACTCAAATGAAATCAGCCGAAGGCCTGACACCGCAAGCCCTATTATTGAGCCGGTACCAGGTAGGGGCCCAGTCGAGAAAATACCTTCACGGTCTTGCATTTTCATGAAGAAAGGAGCAATCATGGGAACATTGGGGTTGTATGGCGCATTTAATAATGGAGCGACCGCAGCATTCCAACCCGACGACACGCTGCAAACCACATTATTTATTTTATGCTTTCATTTTATTCTATATTATATTTTTTATATTTTTTCCATGTTTTATTATTTTACATATGCATCACAAACCCTATTATTGAGCCGGTACCAGGCAGGAGCCTAGCCGGAAAAATACCCTCACGGTCTTGCATTTTCATGAAGAAAGGAGTAATGATGGGAGCATTGGGGTTGTATGCCGCATTTAATAATGGAGCGACTGTAGCATTCCAACCGGGCAAAACGCTGTAACATCGGATTTATAGGATGTCCGAGCCGCTCATCCCCATTTACTTGATTGAGCCGATCATTACGACAACGATGTCAGCTGCCATGTTGTGAGACACGCGCTGCCGTAATCAGGTATGGGAAACGCTGCGTGTCGGCCGGTCTGCCGCCTTTGCCGAGCGCATCCCGTTCTGACCCAGGAGCGGGAGGTGCTCCGCCTCTGCTGAGCTCGTCCTGTTCTGACCCAGGAGCGGGAGCTGCTCTGGAGCCCGACGCCGGAGACCCGGGCCCGGCGTCTGCCTCGCTTCACCGTGCCGCTGGAGGAGCAGGCGCCGCACGAATCCGAGCGGCTCTGGCTCCGGATGTCGGAGGCCATCCAGCGGCAGGACCAGGTGGGCTCGGCGCCGGCTTTGGGAATCGACCGGAGCCGGGGTCTGGCCGGGCCGCGAGCCAGCTGCTGTGTGACAGCGGCACTGCCGTGTGCTACCCGTCGCGTGTCGGCGGCACCAGCCAGTTCCATCAGCCCGCCACGACTGTACGGCTATCCGCTGATGCGACAGCTCGATGACGCCACGGTAATGCAACCCTGATGACTCGCGGCGTGCAGCGCATTAGTCAGTGATACCCCGGACCAGCGGCCGTCGGGGCCTGCCGTCAGTCAGATCAGGCGAGCGCGCCGATGCCACCAACAGCTGTCGTCGGCTTCAACGAAAAAACAAAACAAAACGCGCCAGCTGTCGTAAACCTTGCAGTTTTCGTAGGCGGACTGCGCCTTTTAATGGCGGTTATTTTTCTGGACCCGGCATACTGGCTATCGGACATAAATCAGCGGTGGCCGCTTCAGCCGGCCGGCCAGCGCTGTGTGGACGTGGACTGCGCTATAGAGGTTGTGCCACCTGATGGCTACAGTGAAAGACTGGGCCAAAAGACTCTACAAGCTCTGGGCTTTCAAGCTGTGCGGTATTCGTCTACATCAGTCAACTGAGAAAAAATATCGCGCAAACTGCGTGCATGTCCACACACTGAATGGCGTTGGGCGTGTGACTCTCAGACGGCGGTGGCGGAGGAGCGCTTCACCGTGATGGAGGCACAGCGGGAGGCGATCCGCAACAGGGCAGCAGCGGGCGTGCAGCACACGCCGAAGTACTTTGACGAGGTCTGAGCGACCGCTGCCGTTACCCATGTTCCGTTCGATCGGAGGCCAGGACGCATTCAACGGGTCTCTAGACGCAGAGACGTTTCGTGCTCGCGTGTGCTCGCAGAGTTAGTTGTGGAAGTTTATAAGGTGTGTCGTGCCTTGCTCTAGTTTGGGTCGGTGACTATCACTGGCACGGGAAGTGCAGTGATTTAAGCGACAAGTTCATCGATGTTTTTGCCCCCAGTAAGCTGCAACGCCGTGAGGTGGGATCATCAGGAGGAGTCCAGTACCATGACCATGTCGCCTCGAATTCGTTACATGGCTTGACCGGTACACGTACCGGCCGGTGTTGACAGGACCCTGTGACGGGGCGGTACACGTATCGGTACGCCTGCCTGCGGCCGTGGGACCCATGCACCGAACTGTCCCAGTACGAGGCCGAGTACCGGCTGCTGACCCAGCGGCGAGCCGTGCAGCCACCCACCGCCGCCGGCGCCGCCCGAAGCGGGACGCCGGGCCAGGTCAGTGCCGGCTGCAGTACGGCAGTGGCCAGCGGGCTCAGGCCGGGCGCGCACCAACGCTGGCAGCTGACAAACACTTCCGGACATGCTGAATTTCGAGTTCGTTCAGTCCATACTGAGATGCATCTGCCGGGTCGAGGACAAGGGACGGAGAAGCACGAGCGCTCCCAGCTGACAAGCAGTTTATTTCACATATGCAGAACCGCGAGGCTTTCCAGTCCGCACCTTTGGTGCAGTCTTGCATGGATGCCATGTGTCTTTTTTCGAAGAAAGTATGCTTATGAAGCTTCCCTGCAACGCTTTGATGCACTAGGTGCCGGTGCAATCCAGCCGCTTCAGTTGTGTGAGCCCGTAACGTACGCCAGTAAGAAACCAGGCTGAGCCTCTCTCGCTGGCAATGCTCCGACGGGATGCTCTTCGAACTGAGAGCTCTATCGCCCGCGAAGAGCCAGACGTCCCTCCTTCCAGCCGTGGGGATTCTAAGACGAGATCGTCCTCAGGCTGAGAGGACCACTGTCGGTGAGGAGCCAGACGGTCTGAAACTGATCAGGCCAGCGCCCACCCAGCAACGCTCAGAGGGTGAGAAAACTTACGCCCAGGCAGCAAGGCGTCGGGAACTCAGCTCAGCAGTGCATGTAAGGACGCTGAAACAAACGCGTGGACAAGGGTGGTTTGAATTTTTGAGTGGGGGGGCGAGCTCATGACCGTTATCCATTCTTTTTCAGACGCATTGTGCACAGAATCTGTCCACTTTATCATGACCATATCTTAAACTTAATATAGAAATGGAGGTCCTTCGGCTCCTGTTATGATGAATTTAATGCTGTTATGATGTGTAAACGATCTTCAGGATACTAGGAGACACTTTTCAAACAACCTAAACGCTAAGGAGACGATTTTATTGACGGTACTAAATATTAACAACTGTGCTCGTTCTCAACAGATATTAACAACTGTGCTCGTTCTCAACAGATATTGGGGGTGAGCATAAAACAGCAGATGAGCTTCAGTATCAGAAACACGTTCCTTTATCCTTCATATTGCTTTTTCTCCCAAAAACTTCCGAAAATGTGATATGACGGTGGTTCATCCTGTTTTGGTTCAAAAGATGAGCTACTTGGTAGAGAAAAAGCGGACAGTATTTGGCAACGATATCTCTCTGTTCGTGTGGGCACCACACGCACCCACAAATGGTGTCGTTTCGAGGCCGCTCCACGACGGTGCCACAGGGCAGCTATTTTGAGAAGCTGTTGGGCTCCTCCCGGAAGTAGTAGCCACTAGGGCTAAAGAAGACACTCCAATGAATGGTGTGGTGACAATGCTCCAGAATTGTTGGAGTTTAATTATCTCATTCTTATGCGTGAAATCGGGCGATGCCGAGCAGACAGAGGGTGGATCTTAAGGGGAGGAATACGACCATGAAATCCATTCCCTTGCGTCTCCCATTACGTTTTGGCGCTCCTTCATGCACCAAAATGCCATAATAAAGGGGTATCAAAAACTCTCATTTGGGAACCACGTGGCTTGTGTTTAAAACAGGAGCAAATTCCGGAACCACGGCGAAGGATCCCGAATCTTTATTTTCGGGAGTCGCCGATTTCTAGGGGCACCACAAAGGGCCCCAAGTCCTCATTCTCAAGGGGCACCAAATGCCAGGGCTCAACAATGCTGCGCCTCCCCCCTTGAACGAAATCCTGGAGTAATTCCCTGGGCGAAGGGGCTCTTCGCTTTTGGGGCGTCGTGGGCTTTTCCGAAGGGGCTTTTGGCGTAAGGGCCAAATTCTCCTACCGGACGAATATGCACGCTTCTTGCATGACTCACATGTACGTAATTATCGATTCTGTGAACAAGGTCTGTGAACAAAAATTCATTAACGAATGCAACCCGCTCGGCGAATATCACGCACATGATTATCGTAAGGAGGTCATTTCAACTGAATTCAATACTTAATTCCATTTCTTAATATGTGAAACATGCATTTGATTAAAGGGAATACAATGTGTAATCCACCAATGCACCGTCGAACCAACCAGCGATTGGCGATATCCGGCCGACTGCTGCCTTCTGCACCAGGTGGCAGCAGTGTCTGGAGCCTCTAGAACGGCTTCAGAGGGACGCCGCCGCAGAAGTGGACGCCGTCCAACGCCAGCTAAACGCCCTGCAGCAGCGCCACTTGACGGTTGATGAACCAACCACAAGTCTGTGGTCCGTTCTCATGATGGCGTTAGCACTGCAGCTGATCATTATCTGGTTTGTCGGTCCAATGTAATGAGTGGCTTGGCAGGAAAGCCTGTACCAGAAGGGCATGACATGCTAGACTGCAGCCTCGGACAGACTGGAAAAAACACAGGCATGCTTTCAACCAACGTCTTCATTCCACTGGTTTTCTGTCAACGGAGGACAGCGAGTCATCCGCAGATACCAGATGTGCTTTGCTCAAGCCGTGTATCCAAGTTTTTGAGGAAGTAACGATGGAAGTGAATGCATGGACGTGGATTCTGAGTCATTTCACAAAATTACCAGTTGCAGCTAGCAATGACTGACGAATTTTCCGGTCAGTGCTGTCTCCTCATTGCACTTTGTATCTGCCCCACCGCTTCGCATAGTCGACCACTGGAAGGTGTTCCCATCATCTGTCAGAGTGGCGATGCTGGAGTGTGACTAGTGCGTTTTGTAGACATTTGACACAGCTATGTGCAAATGCGGTGCATAGCAGAGTGGAATCAATGACGAGGGATATTGAAGGAGTGGTATGGACCTCTCTTTCCCGAAGTGTGTGATATGAAATGCAAATGAATAACTACCTGTCCGTTAATGGAAGCCAGTAGTTTCATGCATGCCAGGTGGGCTTATGGTTCGCTTGTAATGTTCACTGCTGTCATTTTTGACATTTCTCATAACCTTCCAGCCGGTTACTATCCCTTCAAAATGATGCGATTATCAGACATTTGTATCAGTAGAGATGTGAAACTATGCTGAAATATAACCCGTTTTCCGTAAGAGGTAGCACAGAAGAAACAAAAATAACGATACATACGGCAATGTGGTATTCCAAACACGCACATTGTGTGATTTTTATAACACAGCACCCGAAGCATATTGATGAGGATCGACAAACTATCCAAGATGGTGTCCCACATTTGCATGGGGCTTTGAGCTGAAATAGTCGTATTGCAGATCTATCGGTGCTGTTTACAGAACTGCCCTTCTTAACACCTAAAGCCCTCCAGTTTCTGAACAGCATGCCCGCGAAGATGTGCAGGCTTTTCAGCGCAACTATTTCAAGACCGCTCAGGCATGCGTGACCCCACGGAAATGTCATTCAAGTACGGCCACCCCATTGGCTATGGGCCGTTCAAGCTCAAGAAAAATATGAGCGTTAAGAGGTTCATTCATACTTGCCGTTCGTGGGCACCGTTTCCAGACATAACAGACTTCAGTAGGCTCTCGCTTAATGCTGTGCAGGTGCGAACGATCCCAACACGATTGGTTATTGGCTATTTGGATTTAAGCCTTTTTCATTAGTAATGATCATTTCAGAGCAATGGGATGGAGGAGCATGAGAAACGGTGGGGCAGGACTACATGCGCCGAGAGGGGGGGGGGGAGGCAACAGCTGAGTATTAGCGCAGGGACTCCTCTACGCGGTATGCGCTGGGCGCCCGGTCGGGGCTCCTGTCCAGGAGCCTCTCAGCCTACTCGTGACTGGTGCATACACCCTGCCCCGAACAGGTGGGGTGACGCGAGGATTCAGTAAAAAGTAAGAAAAAAGGATAAGAGGGTCGGATGAGTCCAATACGAATCAAATCACGTTTTGTGCTACATGGTACAAGAAGTTGGACATGAATACCAGATATTACAGAAATGTCTTTAACCGATTGCACTGAGAATAGCGGCATACCCGAGCATATAAATACCAGAAATCAACTTGACCCCACGAACAAATATACAAGAACACCACAAGAAGGGCCAAAACACGAACCCGTAACGACATTTGCTTCAACAAGCACGTCCGGCACCGCCATTGCTATCTCTCGGAGAGTTGAAGCACTTCAAGTGAGTGCTCGAATGACAATTTTGCACGGCCAGTTTAACAGCATCTCCAACATTGTGCAAATGACCCGTGACGTAATCAAACAACGACATATCTGGGGGCATAAGTACTAAATAGGCAAGTTTTGTTGTCTAGAGCAGCCTTTTCTACTTAAAAAAGCATTCCGATAGTAAATATAAGCTTATGTCATCATACATCATGCGCGCTTCAGTGTTTTGAAATTTGGAACATACTCTTTGATGGACATGGAAATACCGCGCCTGGTGAGCCCAAGCGTCTTTGTTAGCACCACGGAAATTAATACAAGGGATCGTGCATCAATAACCTGGCAGTGCAAGCTTATTACTGGATACAACTTGAAATTGTATACCACTCTGCGTCAACAATAAACAGTGTCATGTTAACAATTCAATATCCCACGGCATCGAATCATACAGGCCGACTGTTTTTTCAGCACTTGAATAAACTGGCGCATTTTCAATCAAACATAGGAAAATACTATCATGGCTACCACTGGCTTCAGCACAACTCATCGCCCTACGTATGAGTGCGTGTTCAGTGCTGCTTTATTGAAACAGGGGCCAAGTGAACGTCCCTGGATAACATTTATTCTCAACCACACTGACTAAGAATTACAGGACGAAATCGAAATTGGACTAGAAACTGTCCGGGCCTATCACCACCCAACCCACGGCTGCAGGTGGGGGAGCAAACTGACTAGCTTGCCGTGACCTAACCACCTGGCCTGCGAGCCGGCGTGAAGTTGTGGCAACACGCTATGTTGGAATAATGTCTGAAATTATTGCAACACGATAAACGTTCACCATTAAAATAATGAATACGGTACCCCACTTCGCAGCAGGTCAGAGATTCTTCAGAGGCATCGGTCTCATCATTTTTCATACCGGGGTATTTCCCCCATTGTAGTATTATAGTACTTTCGTCTATGATCGGATGTTTGTTTCACGCCGCGAAGGCTGACTTTCTTGTTTCATGGCGCTGTAAAATCTTATAAGTTTTGAAGTTAAACATAAATATTTACGTGAAAAGTGCGGTCAAATGTGTAACGAGCGGAAAGCAAAACAAGCGCTATCGGAGCAAAGCTGCGACGGTTGAATATTGATCAACCCCGTGTCAACTTTTGCCATTCATTTCGAATGGTTTGCATGGGTGACTTTGGGTTCAGAATATTCGCCAGGTAAAACTTGCTGCGTGCATCCCAGTTGAACCGATAATTTTGCCTCTGCCATTTCACCAGACAGGACTGCAGAAGATTTACGCGTTGTTGCATAAAGACCGCCCGGGCTTAAGAAAATCCGTGTCGGACAGTTATCAGCGGGCCTCTGCAGGATAGTCAAGCCAAATAATTTGCTCACTCCGGGGCTCTTACCTAGTGCTGCTGCATGACAAACTCAGCATTGTGCCGCAGACCATGGAGGTGAAGGATACGTACACTCCGATGCAAGTACTTATCATTTGCATTTGATTGCGTTAATTGTAATCAGTTGTTTCTTTCTTATACGGAACGCTTGAATGTGTTTCTAACAGTTAATGTTTCTCTGTCTCCGAAGAGCCTCTTCCGGTTTTAGACTATAAATTCACGCGCAAGATTTTTCAAGCTGAAATGGTCCGGTGTGCAGACTTTTCTAAATTATAGGAAGTGACCGATCTCTATTAAATTAGATACTCAACAACTACTGCAAGTGCCTCGCAGGCAATATGCTAAGATTCATTTAACAGCATGTTTCAGGCCAGAGCGGTGAAAGTGATTGTCTTTTGCATTTATCTGCTCGTTTCCGATATTCAAGTAACATCGTGTCACCGTCATGGCCAAGTCACGAATATCGGCACGGGAGAAGATGCGGATTTGGCTCAGAATAGCCAAGTAGGTGAAGTAATTAAGAGACGGAAAAGGTTTGTATCTGACGCCGTGGATGTACATTCAAGAGATGGTGACAAAAATTTTGATGACTATGACTATTACGAAGAATCATATGGAAAACCAGGTACAGTGAAATCCCCCAACGGCGATAGTGATGTTGAGGAAACCGAAAAATCCCGACCTAAAGCCTCAACTGAAGAGACGTTTGATTTTGCGGTGAACTACAAAACAGTTGAAACACCAGCAAGGACACACACATCTCAATCACCCGCTGCTTCGTCCAGATCAACACTTCAGTTCGTGACCCCAGTCGCGAAAAATCGTAAGCATCAGCTACTTTCATTACATTACTTGCATTCACTATTGTCAAATTTCGCTTTTGTCATGATGGCAAAGTACTTCGTTGTGCTGCACTTTATTTTCCGTTAACCTCGGTTTTGGTATTGCTGCTGGTACGCTACACCAGAACAGTGCAAATAAAATCGATTATTATCTTGCGCATAAGAATCGCAATTTTTTGTAGTCAATCTTATCCAAGAATCATAAAGAAATAGAACAAATTAAGTCCGGCACACAGAAACAATACTAAATGTAGTCTGCAGAAACAGTGCATGACAAAAAGTGCCAACCAACAGCGTCGATTAAAAGAGTGTAGATATGTATTGCCCGTCACGCCAAAAGGATGGCTTCTAATGAGTACAGAGTAAAACGTGTCTTCGTTTTGTTTTCATACCATAAATCTCACTTGGACTCGGAGCATGCTGCGCAGACTTTGTCGTTACTGGACCCAAACTGATATCGACAGACGTGTTCACATTTTCAAGTTTTACATATTTAATGGTGGCCTCAGAAAGCCAATAACTCGAGCAAACAATATAAGTAATTGTGTCCAAGTGCATTTAAAGCCCAAAAATGGATCGAAGTACTCATCGCGTTGCACGTGAGCAGCTGCTGTTGGTGGTGAACGCATCAGCGCACACACAAAGGGCAAGTTTCAATTATAGTAACGGCTTCTCAATCTACGCTGCTTACTTGACCAGACTTAGCTAGGTGCTAAATGTGATCAGAACCACTTTGAAGTGCCCACGGGACACTCAGGTGTGCTCAGGCATTGGTTAAAGTGCATTTGGGCAGGTTTCATTGGTAGAATCGGCATGGGCTACCTGAGGAGCTCGTGGGGTGGGGTGGGGGGGGGGGGGGGGGGGGAGTGTGTGTGATACGGTTGCGGGTAGTGGTGTGGGTGAGATGTTCACGAAAGGTCGGATAAATGCTTCAAAAATGCCACACAGCATCACTCCTCGCGTTTCTTTCAGTTGCGATTAGCTCCTTCACACTACTTTTGCAATGACCAGTGTAAATGATCAAACATTGGCGTATACTCTCCTGAAACTGTTCATTATCTAAAACTAAAGCTATATAAAAAAGCACCAACGGGCGAGCGACGGGTGAGCATAATCAAACAGGAATGGGCAGAGGGTGCGTATGGGCAAAACCCCGGGATAGCAGATGGATAGGGCAAAATCTAACCATGCCATTACACACCAGAATGAAAGCGCTTTTTGTTCCCACTGCATCCGGCACCATGTTATGGTCTCATTCGTGCGATGTTGGATTTCAACTTCTGAAATGTATCCGCTGCGGTTACCGACAGCAACGGAAAACTGTTAAAACATGTTCGACAAAACATTTTGGTGCTCACATGTACCAAAAATTGTAACAAATGGTTTTAAATTTCATCTTTTGCAATGAGTATGTGGTGGGGTGGCTGCAGCACGTTCCATTAAATGCGCTGGGGACTATTTCCGGCTGTGTTGAAACTATTTGGAGTCCAAATCTATTAGCATTCAGACCATCTTCAGCGTCCGATCTCAACCAAAACATGTAATTTCAACGACAGCCCAAGTATATTACCCTCGATATCTGTCAACAACAACGCCTTCACTCGGAATACAATCATTTCAATACCTGAATATCATAGCATTGCGAAGGCAGATGCTGGGACTGCGCTACACGTGCAAGCTGGCGCAGTTCCCAGATCATCCCACCTACAAAGCAGTGTTTTCGCGTAGCTTACGAAGGCTTTTCCTACGTCAACGGTCACCAAAAACTTCTCCCTTTTGTGTACGAATGAGAGAACTTTTAGACGCGACCGGCCTCAACCTACGACGCGTCATCAGACATAAACCCATGAAGACTGCTCCTTGGGAGCTAAAATCGCCAAGAGAAGATGTTTCGTTATCAAACATGCAAAAGCAACGCGTTCTCATGACGGAACTTAAAGGGGCAGCCTTAGAACACATAACATCTTTTGACGGGTACATGACGACTTATACGGATGGCTCAAAGACGGACGCAGGTGTGGGGCGCGCTTTTGTGTGTGGATCCACAACACGGTCATTCACGCTGTCTTCACACGCGTCGGTCTTCGCCTCCGAGCTTATAGCCATCAGAAAAGCTCTCTGTTTTATTGAAGTGGACGATACCAATCTGCCTTTAATTCTTTCCGACTCCTTGAGCAGCCTCCTGGCTGTTGGCGGCTTCTCCCCGTCGAATCCACTGGTCCAGGACATTTAATCCCGTCTTAGCTCACTGGATCGAGCAGGAAAAACGGTCGTTCTATGCTGGATCCCAAGTCACGTGGGGATATGCGGAAATGATCTTGCTGACGCGGCAGCAAAGCGCGCTACGACAGGGACTAGAATTCCTGTAACACCACTACCTGCTCAAGACATGTACCCCTCAGTGTCGCTGTTTATGCAGAAGCGATGGCAGTTCCACTGGAACTCGCTGAGCGCCAATAAGCTGCAGTCGGTGAAACCCCGCATTGGATTATGGCAGTCGTGCTTTCGGGACAATAGGGTGGAAGAATTTGCACTTTGCCGGTTACGCATAGGTCACACACATGCTACGCACCATCACCTGCTATTGGCTGGCGACAGACCATGCTGCGGTCGATGCTATGATCCACTGACCGTGCATCACGTACTGGTCGCTTGCCTCCACCTTAATGCAACGAGAGCGCAGTTTTTCAGACGCCACGTCCAGAGTCGCACGCTATTCGACTTTTTAGGGGATTCTTCGAACATCGTCGACTTTGATAAAGTGCTCCAGTTTCTTCGCGCTATAGATTTCCCAGTAATCTTTTCATCATGATGCTAGGGCCAATCATCATGGCTCTATAGGGTGACCTGATTGATGCACTTCTCTGATTAACGGCTCTGCATGAATTGATAGCTATGGGCGCTGCATGACCTTCAGCAGCCGATGCGCCCTAAAATCCCAAATCATCATCATCATCATCATGTGTATTGCAGAGCCTGTTGTACGCATTCAGAAACTGCACATCACATGTAACATCTGAACAGTTAACCCGCGCCCGGCCCGGGGAAGTTGACTTTCCCCACGGTTTTCGAGCCCAACTAAAAAACGAACGTTCGCAGCAACACCCAATTTTTAGTGCCTGCTCATTTATTAATTTGACATCCTTGGTGTAAATTTAAGGCTTTAGTATATATTTGGCCTAGCCGATTAATAACCTTAGCGGTTATTAATCTAGGCCATGTTTAAGAGGTCAATTTCTAAACAAATTTACTATGCATAACTTTGTTGTGCGTTGTTTGCCATTGCTCAAACTCGCTGTAGTAATAGAACGTGATTGCACCCGCAGGTGATATCCCTCAGGTTTTTCGAAACAGATAACGTCAGTGGCCTGAGGTGGGGTCAACTTTTGCTATTTTTTGTAAGTGATGCAAATTTGTCAGCATTATTTAGTTTTGGTGCTTGTATATAATGAAAATATTGCAAGTTCACATGCTCAATCTCGCTTAGACCCAGTCAGCATTTCTATTTTTTCATTTGTATGCCTTGTGAATATGACCTAAGTTGGTCCCAGCTGACATCTAGGCCAGCCTAAAATGGTATTTTTGTGTCTGGGATACTTTTACCCCATAGCTGCTCGTGATGAAGTAAACTTAGTCAGAAGCACATTGTGAAAGAAAACGAAAGCAATAATATCGTATATGTAGGCTATTGGTAGACCAATTTTGAACGGTGACTTGACCTGATCTAACCCTTTTAGAGCAACAAAAAAAGGTTGGACTCCCAACAGCCTTAATGGTCTCTTCTGTGCCCCCGATATTCATTTTGACGTATTCACATATGTCTGAAGTGCATCTATCAGAACGACCATTTTTACTGCCGTGCCATTTGGCGACCTCACATTTTACCTAAGCACAAAAAGTTGGTGTGCGTTTTTCAAGATTTGACGAGACCTCACAATTTTTTTTTTTGAGCGACGTGTGGAAGTTGAAGAGCCATGCGGGAAGGGGTCATCTCCTCTCTCCCCGGCCGGGAGCGGTTGTCTCGGACACCCGACCAGCGCAGATTAACTTAAGATCGTGCGTCTGTCTGTATGCACATTGTTTGACCGAACGCACAGCACAGACTTTTCTACGGATTTCCGTGAGATTCACACGTATATCTGGTTTAGCACGCGCCCGGATGGCCGACTGAATACCCTTCGTTTGGGTGGGAGACTATTTGACTCTCCTGATATCTAAAAAGACCAAGATAGCTAGAGACACCAAGCTCATCGCGTGGATTTATCCGTTCGTCAACTTACTTGTGTCAAAATTTAAGGCTCCTAGATCATAACCCTGGGATCAAATAAAATAAAACAAAGTCAAGCTCAAGATTAGTGGCGAAATACCCCAAAATTCCTCATGGAACCCCCGTGAAGCTAGATACCTGTTCTAAGCAAAAGTTCAATGAGGTCAGCGACCTCTCCTGGCCTTTGCAAAGTCAACTTGACCAAGTTTTTTCCAGATTGCTCCTATTTTGTCATTGGCTACTCAGAGATTACGCTAGACGGGATTTTTTGCAAGAACAAAATGTTGGTCTCAATTATTTTAGGTCAGTGACCTACTCTGACCTTAAGAACTCCATGAAAAATGTCTGCTGCGGTCCCTGTCATTAATAAGTTTGAAATGAGCAGCGTTTTAACCTTGTTCTGACCTTTATACCTGATCTTAGACCAATGATGTTGGCCGTCATGCTGAAATGAATTAGTTTATTGTGTAAGAAACTATCTCAGATATGTATCGCTTCATCTAGCACCTCGTTGTTGCATCGCGTTGAGCGATTCCCTAGAAATGTGCTTTGCTGACAGCCATGGCCTGACTTTGACCTGCCGTAGATCATTGCCCTTTCAAGGTTCATCTAATTTTGTACATCAAAAGATCTGCTATTCAATTCCCTACAGCTATGCAACGTTTGGCGTGGCTACACCGCGCCGTTCGGAAATCGTTGTGGAAAAACTTCGGGGGCTCTATTCGACCCTCACCCAAGCGCCTGGTAGCCTTCATTACGATCCACGGCATATCCTGACGCCTGTCCGGTACCGGTGTCGGTCACAGCACGTGCGAGAGGGCACATGTTTCCGCATTTAGCATGGAGACACATTCCTTGTTTGTTGATTGTGCCAAGACTTCAATATAGCCGCATGTGCAAAGCCCAAGTGGTCAAAAATTGCCGCAAAGCTCGAGCAACGATGAATACAGCGTCCCTGCACGCAGGGGAATGCCAACTTAAACAGGCACCAACAGCTTAGAAAAACTGGAGATGCCAGACTGTGTCATTGAGAAGCGCCGCCCCCAGCCACATTATTGTTTAATGTGGCTGAGGGCAGCGTCATACCGACCCCAACGGTGCCACATCTTCGCACAGAAAAACAAGCGGGAACCACAGCTTATGCTGCCTATTAGATGTCCTCAGTGCATGGAAGACGTTGCACGATTAGGGTGTCCGAATTTGATTCAGAAATGACCGCTTGCAGATGTCAGCTGAGATCCAATTCGCATTGCTAAGACATAAGCGAATGCTATTCCATTGGTAGCGGTGCCGCTTCGCGCAGGAGAACAAGCGCAACCTCTCGCAAGTTTCTAAACATCACAAGGGAAATGCTGAGGGATGCCCTGACGGGCATCACAGGGCTTAGACATGGGTGAACCGATTGGTTCAGGCATTTACCAGCGTCAGTAGGCTTTCGCTGGACGCTGGCTGTGAAGGTTTTGTATGAAGTGTTGATGGATGCGTCCAAAATTTCCTTTTTAAAGTTTTTCGCGCAAAAGGGGTCGATTTGGAAATCTCCAGCTTTGACAACATCTATACGGGAGGCATGGATTCATGCATCGCACAAGCCAAAGCTCAACAGCGGTGAGATCAGAGGTGGGGACGGGTTGCCGAGGGAGGATGCCATCACGCATTATAAAGAAACGGTGCCACATATGAAAATGGTTGTAGCCGTGGTAACACTAATGTTTCGTTTATAAATATGCCCAATGAAGAATTCTGCTTGTAACCACTTGACATTTTGCTACGACACACACACACACACACACACACACACACACACACACACACATACACGCGCGCGCGCGCGCGCGCGCGCAGGAATCATGTCTGATCACGCGTCTTATCGAACCTGATCGCGACATTTCCTGCCCTCTCTGTACCAATAAATCGAGCATCTTACAGTATGACTGTCTTATCGTTCTACGTACAACTGTACAATTGGTCATCCATCCAGACTGAGGCAGCATCAGACGTTGTTCAAGGCGTTAAAAGTTCAACATGAGCACCACCTCGGGCGATGCATTCACCGCATATCAGGCTTTATGCAAGCCAGGTGATATCGGGGGCCCTTTTTCAATTTTTTTTCCGAACATATTTCTCACCAGCTCTGGTGAGTGGTGGAGCCACCCGCTGCCGTGGTTCTTGTCAAGCCGACCACTGGGTTACTTCCTAAAGTACGGGCGGATGCCTTAGCTATGATGAGGCCGATAACTGCGCTGACTGTGATGACACCGCCCGCTGCACTATGAGACAAAGGAGACAAGGCCAACCACGGCACCAGCTCTAAAGACTGGTCTCTGCGCTGGATCTGGTGCCAGACGTGGACCGATCCGCCTGGGAGCAGCCGTTGCAAAGGCTCGGGTGAGGCCAGAAGAAGAGATGGATTTGGCAGGTTGGGGCACTACCCTGGCTCTGTTGAGGTCAGCTGCCGCTCCGAACTCAGCTCAGATAGCCAGTATACATTTCCAGTTTGCATGTGTTTGCTTGAAGTTCATCCACGAGGCAGATTTTCAGGCCTTTGGCTTGTTAAAACGTTTTCTCACTTCGGTTTGTTACAATACTCACTCGTTACTGAGGTTGAACCACAGAGTTAACGGAATTATTCCACATTTGTGCGGGATTTTGAACTGAATTAGCCATCTTGAAAGTCATTCGGCGTAACTCGAAGACCTGCCCTTCTTAAAACCCAAACCCATCTTTTTCTGAGTTAAACGTCCGCGAAGATGTACAGACTATTTCGGGGGAAACTATTCCAAGGTAACCAATGCATCTAGGACGCCAAAATAATGTCATTCAAATCCTGTCATCCGTTTGTAAATGGGGCGATCAAGGCCCCAAAAGATATAGCTGTCGAGTCGTTCATATCTGACGTTCGTAGGCACAATGCTCAGACATACCGGCCTTCAGCTGGCACTCAATCGCTTTGGCACAAGACACAGTGACGTATTGAAACAAGGAAGCATTGGGGGGCATATTTGTTAGACGAATACAAAATCTTGTTGCTTAGAGCAGGTTTTTCCACTTAAAAGCATATCAATCGTTTTAAATGGGCTTATTTCATCACACCTGACGCTTGCTGCGATGTTTTCAAATGTGGAACATTCCCTTTAAACGGGACCAGCCGTGCTACCTTCGGGGCAGTCGGGGATCAGGTTCGTCTGCTCCGTTCAGTCCGCGGCTTTATTGGTACGGATGGGACCAGCCACTGGGCTGGCTGTAGCGGGACCGGGCGTCACGCCGGCTCTGGTAAGCCTGGTCGCCGTGCTCTCTCTGATGGGGTGCACCGCTGCGCAGCTGGCCAGCCGCTGTTTGCGTTCTGGTGGGGTGCGCCGCTATGCGCTCTGTTGGGTGCGCCGCTGTTTGCGCTCTGGTAGGGTGCATCGCTGCGCGATGGGACGCCGCTGCACTGGTTCTGGTGAGCTCGGTCGGTGTGCTGACCGCCGAGGTGCGCTCTCGGCCACTGGGCTTACTTTGGTGAGACCTGGACTGATCTTTCTATTAAGCCATTCCTGTTCGTGGTACATGTCCTGGTGTTCTGCTTAAATTTCGGTTTTAGCTACTGTGACATGGTCCCGTTGATCTGCTCTTCCACAGTATGCACGTTGCAGTCGCTAGTCGGCTGGGATTTGCTTGACTCGCCGAAGCTCCTGGTGTACAAGGGCCATGACGAGCGCAGTGTATGTAAACCCGTATAATACTGGTTTTACATCTGTCGGAACACATGTTTTCTCTGTTCAGGCATGTGTCAGCGCCAGTGGGCTCTCGGCGGACGCTGGTTGTAAATATTTGGCCGAAGCGTTGAAACATGCGTCAAAAAAGTTATTCTCCTCCAAAAAAATATCTTCGACGGTAATCTGTAGGTCTGATACAAGCTCCAGTCTGCATTTAACGTGTTCAGAGCAATAATATATTTGATCTCCAGCAAAATTTCATCAGCATGTTGCACGCACATTTGAAGTTTAATGAAATCATCCGTGAGAACGTCTTGCTCAACAGAGGACATAAAGCCTTGGGCAAACAGGACTCCCAGTGGTGATCACATTGCAATATCATCTGTTTGGTAAAACAGCTGCCCTTTAGGGTATCTGGAGTGTGCCTTGGCGGTGCACAGCCTTAACATGATACACATGAAGTGTTTAAGAAGTCTGATGCGGACATATTTTCATGATCGTACGCGTATTTGGCAGGTATATCAATAGTTCATTCGACAGGGTCACTTGCGAACTGGCTATTGACATCTACAGATGCTATCATGCCCAGTCTATTTTTTTTTGGGGGGGGGGTCAACGAGCTCGGATGATGGCTTTAGGAAGTACGTAGATGGAAATAGGAATTCAGTATCTTATTGGGTTTTTTGGCGAGGTTATAGGCTGCTTAAGAGATCTGTGACATTACACATCTCGATGAATTGTCGGGCCCATGGGTTCTAGCATTGTCATTGCCTTACAAATATTTTGGCTTATGCTTACCGGTGATATGTTCCATCTGGGGATCCTCAGTGTGCTTATAAGCGGAAACTATGAGGACATTTGTCTGTCTTTTAAGATGCTCGATAGGGTTTCTTGTGATGTCGGTGAACTTCGGGTCATCGTTCAAGATAACATTTTTTCCTTTGTAGTCGACCGCGACCAGGATCACGAAAACTTGCAACTTGGCTCTTCTTGGCAACTTCTTCTCGTCCGTGTAGCGATGTCCCCATTTCATTGCAGTTTCTTTGCAGCTTTCAGCAGTCGTGGGCTCAGTGATGGTGCACGAAGCCTGTTTCGTACTCTCACCTTGCAGCTGCTAATGTCGAGGTTTACCATATTCTTCCATATTCTATTCCTAAAGTCGGCAAGTTTCCTGGCAAAGCAGCTGGGCCTTCTTTTCCTCCTCAGAGAGAGGAAAAGTCCTCAGAGACCTACACCCTCGACATATTCACAAGGTCATCTTTTAGATTGAGGACAGGAACCCATTCTCCGTAAAGGTTACATGAATTTTTCCGTATTCTTCTTCCGACTATATTATATATGCAGAGAAAGCTACACTGAAATAACATTATCAGTTTTACGCCTGAGGTTTTCGGCAATTGCGAAGCCTCGGTAACACAGCTTCTCACCGACCAGTTTTTTAGGTCCCTGATGGTTCCATTGTTGGTTTCGATTTGATCTCACACTAGTTTTTGTCTAAAATTTAGCGGAAATGTTTCCCGCAGCACCGGCTCATCGATCTGAACGTTTAGAAAGTTATGATACATACTTTTCTTTATGCGTGTTTTGTGAAAATACCACTCATATATATATATATATACATGCATCAGGCTGGGTCATCAACTATTCCAGCCAGTTTAAGTGTGCCCGCGTATCTCTGCATTTTCTTACATCATCCTCCTTCAACGCCCCATTTATCCCTCCGACGCTGGGCGATAACGGGACTATTTCATTGCTGATTACACCACTACGTCTTTATATTAACATTAGATGTGTCTTGTTTCAGCATTGCGCTTCGTTCTGTAATAGAGTGCGCACTGCAATGGCTGCCATTCGTTTGAATTATAGGCGTTACCCACTCGGCATCACTGCATTCTAAATGACTGCCGTGCGAATGTTTCAGTTGGAGACTGCTGTCACCTGTTGAGAAGTGGCTGGTATCAGGAATTCAAGCGCTGCGTTGGAGGTCGCTGTCTGCATGCGAACACCTGCGAAGGGCCGGAGATTTTAACGCGTAAGATTTGAAGAAGCCTGAATGTACCCCATAAATTGTAAGGTTATTCCACTTTTCTTTTCAACTCCAATTTTCCGACTCAATAATGTTATGTTTCGATGGTTTATCGCATTTAGTCTCCAATGGCAGAGCATTGGGACTTGAAGGGTGACAAAATTGCCGCAGATCACGAAATGCTAGTAAACGGATGCGAGGCATTCACATAATTCAGATATAGTAAGTGCTTTCATGCCAACAGAATATTGTCCAGTCATGTCATGTTTTTACTGTCCTACGAACACTTATTCGACTCGCATGCTTCCAATGATATTGAGACGGCTGAAGCGGGGATGGGGTGACAGAAACGGCAGCTATCCAATATCTGCAAAAGTTGGAAATTAACCCTACGGGATTGCAATGAAAAATCATCGTAAACGTCGTGCCTATCGTCCTCTTGTATCTGAGGACGATCTAATGTCCCCATGCACCTGCTGCCTTAGCCTTTAGTTCGCGAATGTTATGCTTTTCAGATTGTTTTTTCGACGGCCAGTATTATTCCGTAAATGCAACTGCACACATCGACAAACAAAAGTGTTTCCTGATATCCTGCACCAAGGCTGACGGGAAGGATCCACCTTCATCCAACGTGGTTGATTTTGGAGTTGGATGTAAGTACATAAGCTTCAGCCGGATTCGGCCGAAGCCTGTTAAAACAAGGAATGTAGTAGAGATCACGATTGGCAGGAAGAGGTAACTATGGGTGAGATGAATGACTAGACTTTGTTGGAATGCTGAGAGATAAACATGACTGAGCTGCTGTCGTTTCAGGCTGCGAAAAATCCGAGAAGTTACACAGGCACGGCGAGAGGCTCCGGGACTACACCTGCGTCCATGGAAAGTGGATACTAAGGGAGCCACATACCTCACCTAGCACTCCTCAGAATGCTACAACTCACCTTCCACCTACTTCAGCAGAGCCTCAGACTCCAACCACACAAAATGACATTAAACGGTCATCGGTTTCGTCAACAATGAAGACATCTGAAAAGTCAACTCATTTATCAACCACTCATCCAGACCAATCATCGCACGTCACAGAAACTCCACAACATTTGACTCAAACAAAAATGGCTTCAGAAACGCCCGTGGAAGCAAAGACGATTATGTTCACGGGACCAACCATCCCTTCAGAAGCTCATCTCTCACATTCCACGGCAAAGGACCGCACAGTTGATCTAAAGGAGATAACAGAAAGTCTGATTACATCAGGGTATCAAACGCAGACTCATATCTCATCCGAATCCCCAGGAACAATGGCTGTCACTGAACTAGCGATGGTGACGGTAGAATCTTCTAAGACATCTAGCGAGTCACAACCATCGACAGCAGGCAGCCCAGTATCAGAACAACCCGCTACCACGGCCAGCACACGCGGTCGAAACCTGACCTCTGAGGAGCATTTCACACCGCCATCAACAGAAAGTCCTACTGTTGAGCGTACCACGACACTGCGTCCCAGAGCTTCAGAACAAACCATTGGATTAGCAGCCGAAAGTACGGAACATGCGTTAGATGCTTCAGTAAGTTATGCAAGCACGCATGCTGAAAGTGCAACGAAGACACCAATGGCACAACAAACGGCTCACCCGACCAGCGCAAAAGATCAAAGCCTAGCACCAGAACGTAGCTCTGTACCCGCCAGCTTTACAGGCACGCAAGCAGAAAGTGCAACACACCTACCCGCATCACAACAATCGGTTGGCACCACCAGTTCACCTAAACTAAGCCAGGCAACAGAAGAATTTTCCACACCTACCAGCTTGGAGTATACTCAAAACACGGCCCAGCATATATCACTTGGGGGCACCTCTGATATTGAGACTAGAACAGCTACAACACATACAACTGTACCAGACACAGATGCTATAAAGCATACTTCGCATGCTTCAACGGCCTATACAGGCACGCCTGCCGAGAGCACAGCATATGAATCTGTCACACGGCAATCACCCAGCACAGATAGCAAGCACAAGCAGGTCTCAACCGAAAAACATTCCTTGTCGCCATCACCAGAAAGCCCTGTTGTCATGAAAACTACCACAGTACTCCATGGCGAAAGTTCTGAAGAAACCGCTGAACCAGCAACAGGACCGACAGTCCAAGTTCCGCGTGTCTCAGAAGTCCATACAAGCAGACGTCCGGAAACTACGACACAAATACCTATATCAAGACAATCTACTACCATGGCTAGCACACATAAAGAGAGCCTGATAACGAAAGAACATCATGTATCTACGGTATCTGAAAGCCCTTCTGCTACTGAAACAACTATAGGGATTCATCCCAAAAGCTCAGAACAAACTACTGCACCATCATCATTCCCCATGGAGTATACTTCAAGCGCTTCGGTGACTTCTGCAATCACGCAAACTGGAAGCACAACATACCCGCCTGGGTCACCACAAACGGCCCAGGCCGGTTAGCGCACATGAGCAAAGCCTAGAAACTGAAAGTCATTCCATGCCCACTGGCTTCCGGCATACTCACCCAGCGACCCAGCGCGCACCATCTGGAAGCCCTCCTAGTATTGCAAATGCGACGAGTACATTACTTCATTCAGAAACTTCTGAACGATCCACCATGCCGAAAGAGCAGCACACGGAGCATGTTTCTCTTGTTTCAAAAGTGCATGGCAGCACGCCTGCTAAAAGTACAACGCGGCACCATGGATCACAGCAATCAGCTGTAACGACCAGTACATCTGAGGAAAGCCAGGCAACAGAGGCTCATTCTATACCACCCTCATCAGAAAGTATTTCTGTTGCTCAAGCTACAACAGTATTCCATACAAGTAGGCGCGCAGAAGACATTACGCGCCCACCTCCGTCACGGCAAACAACTCACGTGATCACTACACAAGAACAGAGTCTGGCAACCGTGGAACAATCCGTGCCTGATTCATCTCAATCTCCTACCGGTATTGAGACAACTACGGTGACCCACACCGAAAGATCAGAAGAAACCACATCACCATCAATACAAGCTACGGAACGTGCTCTGAATGCTTCAACGGCTCATTCAAGTACACGTTCCGAAAGCACAGCACACACCTCACGGCAAACAGCTCACACAGGCAGCACACAAGAACAAAGCCCAGCAACAGAAGGTCATTTGTTACCTAGCAGCACAGCTCATACTCTCCCATCGTCCCAGCATACATCATCTGGAAGCCCCTCTGGTATTAAGCATTTGACTAGTACATCACTTCAACAAGAAGCTTCCGAACAAACGACTGTGACGGCAACAGAAGCAACAGAGCATGCTTCAAAAGCCCATACGAGCATGGCGACAGCAGGTACATCGCACCCATCTCTGTCGCACCAATCGGTTAGCACGCTTAAAGAGAGCCTGGCAACGGATGAGCATGCCATGCTGTCATCGTCCGAAAGTCCTTCAGTTACGGAAGCCACTACGGCGCACCTTCCCAAAGGCTCGGAAGAAACCATTGCGACGTCAACATCAGTTGAAAAGGATGTTACAAATGCCTCGATAGCATATGTAAGTACGCATGCTGAAAGCACAACACACCCACCTAGGTCACGACAAACCGCTCATATCTCAAGCACACAAGAACAAAGCCTGTCGACGGAAAAGCATTTTGCACCCACCAGCTCTTTGCATACTCACCCAGCGACCCAGACTGCTTCACCTGAAATTCCCACGACTGCAAACCTTCGTTCAACAACATCCGAGCAGACCTCTGCACCGGCAACAAAACCCACAGAGCAAGGACCGCATATTACACAAGCTCTTACTGGCACGCATACTGAAAGCACAACGCACCCACCTGTGTCTCAACGATCAGCTGGAACGGTTAGCATGCCTGAAGAGGGTCAGGCAACAGAGGGTCCTTCTATATTACCTTCATCAGAAAGTCCTTATGCACAGGAAGCTACAACGGCATTCCATCCCGAAACTTCAAGGCAAGCAGCATCTCCGACAGCGGAAACGACAGAATACACGTGGAATGCTTCACAAACGTATTCAAGCAAGCGCGCAGATGCCATTACCCATCCACATCCGTCACGGCAAACAACTCACGTGACCACTACACAAGAACAAAGTCTGGCAACCGTGGAACAGTCTATATCTGCTTCATCCCAACCTCCCTCCGGTATTGAAACAACTACGGTGACCAACACCGAAATGTGGGACGAAACCACATCATCACCAACACCGACTGCGGAACGTGCTTTGAGTGCTTCAACGGCTCATTCAAGTACACGTGCCGAAAGCACAGCACACCCCTCACGGCCAGCAGCTCACACAGACAGCACACAAGAGCAAAGTCCAGCAACAGAAGGCCCGTTGTTACGTACCAGCCTCGCTCACACTCTTTCATCGTCCCAGCGTGCATCATCTGGAAGCCCCTCTGGTATTAAGCATGTCACGAGTACGTCACTTCGGCCAGAAACTTCCGAGCAAACCCCTGAGACGGCGACAAAAGTTACGGAGCATGTTTCCCACGTTTCAAAGGTCCCATACGAGCACGCAAACAGCAGGTGCATCGCACCCATCTGTGTCGCACGAATCGGTTAGCACACCTAAAGAAAGCTTGGCGACGGAAGAGCATGCTATGCTGCCATCGTCCGAAAGTCCTTCAGTTATGGAAGCAACTACGGCGCACCTGCCGAAAGGCTCCGAAGAAACCATTGCAACGTCCACATCAGTTGAAAAGGAAGTTACAAATGCTTCAATAGCATATGCAAGTACGCATGCTGAAAGCACAACACACCCACCTCGGTCACGGCAAACGGCTCATCCGAGAAGTACACAAGAACAAGGTCCGTCGACGGAAAAACATTTTGTACCCACCAGCTCTTCGCATACTCACCAAGCAACCCAGCCTGCTTCAACTGAAATTTCTGCCGTGACGACTGCAAGCCTTCGTTCAGCGACATCCGGCCACACTACTGAACCAGCAACAGCACCGGCTGAGACACTTCCGCATGTTTCGCAACCTGTCACTGATGCGCATGCTGAAAGTACGACACACCTTCCTATGTCACAACAACCAGTTGGAACGGCCAGCGTCCCTGAAGAAGGTCAGGCAACAGAGGGCCTTTCTATACCACCTTCATCAGAAAGTCCTTATGTAGAGGAAGCTACAACAGCCTTCCATCCTGAAACTTCACGGCAAACAGCATCCCGTCCAGCAGCAACAACAGAACACGCGTTGAATGTTTCACAAGCTTATTCAAGCAGGCACGCAGAAGAGACTACAGGCCCACCTCCACCACGGCAAACAACTCACGTGACCACTGCACGAGAACAAAGTCTTGTAACCGAGGAACAATCTGTACCTGCTTCATCTCAACCTCCCTCCGTTATTGAGACAACTCCAGTGACCCACACCGAAAGATCGGAAGAAACCACATCACCACCAATACAAGCTACGGAACGTGCTTTGAGTGCTTCAACGGCTCATTCAAGCACACGTGCCGAAAGCACAGCACACCCGCCACGGCCAGCAGCCCACACAGACAGCACACAAGAGCAAAGTCCAGCAACGGAAGGCCCTTTGTTACGTACGAGCATCGCTCACACTCTTTCATCGTCCCAGCATGCATCATCTGGAAGCCCCTCTGGTATTAAGCACTTGACTAGTACATCGCTTGAACCAGAAACTTCCGAACAAATGACTATGACGGCAACAGAAGCCACAGAGCGTGTTTCTCATGTTTCAAAGAAGCATACCAGCACGCAAACAGCAGGTACATTGCGCCCATCTGTGCCGCACCAATCGGTTAGCACGCTTAAAGAGAGCCTGGCAACGAATGAGCATGCCATGCTGTCATCGTCCGAAAGTCCCTCAGTTAAGGAAACCACTAGAGCACACCATCTGAAAAGCTCCGAAGAAACTATATCAACGTCAGCATTAGTTGAGAAGGATGTTACAAATGCTTCAACAGCATATGCAAGTACGCATGCTGAAAGCACAACACACCCACCTCGGTCACGGCAAACGGCTCATCCGCCAAGCACACAAGAACGAAGCCGGTCGACGGAAAAGCATTTTGCACCTACAGGTTCCTCACAAAGTCACCCAGTAACACAGCCTGCATCACCTGAAATCCCTTCTGTGACGACTGCAACACTCCGTTCAACAACTTCTGAGCAAACCTTTGCGCCGGTCACAAAACCCACCGAACAAGGTCCACACGTCCCACAAGGTCTAACTGGCACGCAGGCTGAAAGCACAACGCACCCACCTGTGTCTCAACGATCAGCTGGAACGGCTAGCATTAAAGAAGAGCAGGTGACAGAGGGTTATTCTATCCCACCTTCATCAGAAAGCCCTCATGTAGAGGAATCTACAACAGCATTCCACTCTGAAACTTCAAGGCAAGCATCCCTTGCAGCAGGAGCAACAGAACACGTATTGAATGCTTCACAAACCTACACAAGCAGGCGCGCAGAAGACACTACGCGCCTACCTCCACCACAGCAAACAACTCACGTGGCCATTACACACGAACAGAGTCTGGCAACCGAGGAACAATCCGTGCCTGCTTCATCTCAGTCTCCCTCCGGTATTGAGACAACTACAGTGACCCACACCGAAAGATCGGAAGAAACCACATCACCACCAATACAAGGTACGGAACATACTTTGGGTCCTTCAACAGCTCATTCAAGTACACGTTCCGAAAGCACAGCACACCCCTCACGGCCAGCAGCCCACACAGCCAGCACACAAGAACAAAGCCCAGCAACAGAAGGTCATTTGTTACGTACCAGCTTCGCCCACACTCTTCCATCGTCCCAGCATGCATCATCTGGAAGCCCCTCTGGTGTTAAACATTTGACGAGTACATCACTTCAACCAGAAACTTCCGAACACACGACTATGACGGCAACAGAAATCACAGAGCATGTTTCTCATGTTCCAAAGGAGCATACGAGCATGCAAACAGCAGGCACATTGTACCCATCTGTGTCACACCAATGGGCTAGCACGCTTAAGGACAGTCTGGCAACGGATGAGCATGCCATGCTGTCATCGTCCGAAAGTCCTTCAGTTACGGAAGCCACTATGGCGCACCTTACCAAAGGCCCCGGGGAAACCATTGCAACATCAGCATCAGTTGAAAAGGATGTTACAAATGCTTCAATAGCATATGCAAGTACGCATGCTGAAAGCACAACACACCCACCTCGGTCACGGCAAACGGCCCATTCGCCAAGCACACAAGAACGAAGCCGGTCGACGGAAAAGCCTTTTGCACCTACAGGTTCCTCACAAAGTCACCCAGTAACACAGCCTGCATCACCTGAAATCCCTTCTGTGACGACTGCACACCTCCGCTCAACAACTTCTGAGCAAACCTTTGCGCCGGCAACAAAACCCACCGAACAAGGTCCACACGTCCCACAAGGTCTAGCTAGTACGCAGGCTGAAAGCACAACGCACCCACCTGTGTCTCAACGATCAGCTGGAACGGCTAGCATTAAAGAAGAGCAGGTGACAGAGGGTTATTCTATCCCACCTTCATCAGAAAGCCCTTATGTAGAGGAATCTACAACAGCATTCCATTCTGAAACTTCACGGCAAACAACATCCCCCGCAGGAGAAGCAACAGACCACGTGTTGAATGCTTCTCAAACTTACACAAGCAGGCGCGCAGAAGACACTACGCGCCTACCTCCACCACAGCAAACAACTCACGTGGCCATTGCACACGAACAGAGTCTGGCAACCGAGAAACAATCCTTACCTGCTTCATCTCAATCTCCCTCCGGTATTGAGACAACTACAGTGACTCACACCGGAAGATCGGAAGAAACCACATCACCACCGATACAAGCTACGGAACGTGCTTTGGGTGCCTCAACGGCTCATTCAAGTACACGTTCCGAAAGCACAGCACACCCCTCACGGCCAGCAGCTCACACAGACAGTACACAAGAGCAAAGTCCAGCAACAGAGGGCCCGTTGTTACGTACCAGCCTCGCTCACACTCTTTCATCGTCCCAGCGTGCATCATCTGGAACCCCCTCTGGTATTAACCTTGTCACGAGTACGCCACTTCAGCCAGAAACTCCCGAGCAAACCCCTGAGACGGCAACAAAAGTCACAGAGCATGTTTCCCATGCTTCAAAGATCCATACGAGCACGCAAACAGCAGGTGCATCGCACCCATCTGTGTCGCACGAATCGGTTAGCACACCTAAAGAAAGCTTGGCAACGGAAGAGCATGCTATGCTGCCATCGTCCGAAAGCCCTTCAGTTATGGAGGCAACTACGGCGCACCTGCCCAAAGGCTCAGAGGAAACCATTGCAACGTCAGCATCAGTTGAAAAGAATGTTACAAATGCTTCAATAGCATATGCAAGTACGCATGCTGAAAGCACAACACACCCACCTCGGTCACGGCAAACGGCTCATCCGCCAAGCACACAAGAACGAAGCCGTTCGACGGAAAAGCCTTTTGCACCTACAGGTTCCTCACAAAGTCACCCAGTAACACAGCCTGCATCACCTGAAATCCCTTCTGTGACGACTGCACACCTCCGCTCAACAACTTCTGAGCAAACCTTTGCGCCGGCAACAAAACCCACCGAACAAGGTCCACACGTCCCACAAGGTCTAGCTAGCACGCAGGCTGAAAGCACAATGCACCCACCTGTGTCTCAACGATCAGCTGGAACGGCTAGCATTAAAGAAGAGCAGGTGACAGAGGGTTATTCTATCCCACCTTCATCAGAAAGCCCTTATGCAGAGGAATCTACAACAGCATTCCATTCTGAAACTTCACGGCAAACAACATCCCCCGCAGGAGAAGCAACAGACCACGTGTTGAATGCTTCTCAAACTTACACAAGCAGGCGCGCAGAAGACACTACGCGCCTACCTCCACCACAGCAAACAACTCACGTGGCCATTACACACGAACAGAGTCTGGCAACCGAGAAACAATCCGTGCCTGCTTCATCTCAGTCTCCCTCCGGTATTGAGACAACTACAGGTGACTCACACCGAAAGATCGGAAAAAACCACGTCACCACCAATACAAGCTACGGAACGTGCTTTGGGTGCCTCAACGGCTCATTCAAGTACACGTTCCGAAAGCACAGCACACCCCTCACGGCCAGCAGCTCACACAGACAGTACACAAGAGCAAAGTCCAGCAACAGAAGGCCCGTTGTTACGTACCAGCCTCGCTCACACTCTTTCATCGTCCCAGCGTGCATCATCTGGAAGCCCCTCTGGTATTAACCTTGTCACGAGTACGCCACTTCAGCCAGAAACTTCCGAGCAAACCCCTGAGACGGCAACAAAAGTCACAGAGCATGTTTCCCATGCTTCAAAGGCCCATACGAGCACGCAAACAACAGGTGCATCGCACCCATCTGTGTCGCACGAATCGGTTAGCACACCTAAAGAAAGCCTGGCAACGGAAGAGCATGCTATGCTGCCATCGTCCGAAAGTCCTTCAGTTATGGAGGCAACTACGGCGCACCTGCCCGAAGGCTCAGAGGAAACCATTGCAACGTCAGCATCAGTTGAAAAGAATGTTACAAATGCTTCGATAGCATATGCAAGTACGCATGCTGAAAGCACAACACACCCACCTCGGTCACGGCAAACGGCCCATCCGCCAAGCACACAAGAACGAAGCCGGTCGACGGAAAAGCCTTTTGCACCTACAGGTTCCTCACAAAGTCACCCAGTAACACAGCCTGCATCACCTGAAATCCCTTCTGTGACGACTGCACACCTTCGCTCAACAACTTCTGAGCAAACCTTTGCGCCGGCAACAAAACCCACCGAACAAGGTCCACACGTCCCACAAGGTCTAGCTAGTACGCAGGCTGAAAGCACAACGCACCCACCTGTGTCTCAACGATCAGCTGGAACGGCTAGCATTAAAGAAGAGCAGGTGACAGAGGGTTATTCTATCCCACCTTCATCAGAAAGCCCTTATGTAGAGGAATCTACAACAGCATTCCATTCTGAAACTTCACGGCAAACAACGTCCCTTGCAGCAGAAGCAACAGAACACGTGTTGAATGCTTCACAAACTTACACAAGCAGGCGCGCAGAAGACACTACGCACCTACCTCCACCACAGCAAACAACTCACGTGGCCATTACACACGAACAGAGTCTGGCAACCGAGAAACAATCCGTACCTGCTTCATCTCAATCTCCCTCCGGTATTGAGACAACTACAGTGACTCACACTGAAAGATCGGAAGAAACCACATCACCACCAATACAAGCTACGGAACGTGCTTTGGGTGCCTCAACGGCTCATTCAAGTACACGTTCCGAAAGCACAGCACACCCCTCACGGCCAGCAGCTCACACAGACAGTACACAAGAGCAAAGTCCAGCAACAGAAGGCCCGTTGTTACGTACCAGCCTCGCTCACACTCTTTCATCGTCCCAGCGTGCATCATCTGGAAGCCCCTCTGGTATTAACCTTGTCACGAGTACGCCACTTCAGCCAGAAACTCCCGAGCAAACCCCTGAGACGGCAACAAAAGTCACAGAGCATGTTTCCCATGCTTCAAAGGCCCATACGAGCACGCAAACAGCAGGTGCATCGCACCCATCTGTGTCGCACGAATCGGTTAGCACACCTAAAGAAAGCTTGGCAACGGAAGAGCATGCTATGCTGCCATCGTCCGAAAGTCCTTCAGTTATGGAGGCAACTACGGCGCACCTGCCCGAAGGCTCAGAGGAAACCATTGCAACGTCAGCATCAGTTGAAAAGAATGTTACAAATGCTTCAATAGCATATGCAAGTACGCATGCTGAAAGCACAACACACCCACCTCGGTCACGGCAAACGGCTCATCAGCCAAGCACACAAGAACGAAGCCGTTCGACGGAAAAGCCTTTTGCACCTACAGGTTCCTCACAAAGTCACCCAGTAACACAGCCTGCATCACCTGAAATCCCTTCTGTGACGACTGCCCACCTCCGCTCAACAACTTCTGAGCAAACCTTTGCGCCGGCAACAAAACCCACCGAACAAGGTCCACACGTCCCACAAGGTCTAGCTAGCACGCAGGCTGAAAGCACAATGCACCCACCTGTGTCTCAACGATCAGCTGGAACGGCTAGCATTAAAGAAGAGCAGGTGACAGAGGGTTATTCTATCCCACCTTCATCAGAAAGCCCTTATGTAGAGGAATCTGCAACAGCATTCCATTCTGAAACTTCACGGCAAACAACATCCCTTGCAGGAGAAGCAACAGAACACGTGTTGAATGCTTCACAAACCTACGCAAGCAGACGAGCAGAAGACACTACGCGCCTACCTCCACCACAGCAAACAACTCACGTGGTCATTACACACGAACAGAGTCTGGCAACCGAGAAACAATCCGCACCTGCTTCATCTCAATCTCCCTCCGGTATTGAGACAACTACGGTGACCCACACCGAAAGATCGGAAGAAACCACATCACCACTAATACAAGCTACGGAACGTGCTTTGGGTGGCTCAACGGCTCATTCAAGTACACGTGCCGAAAGCACAGCACACCCGTCACGGCAAGCAGCTCACACAGCCAGCACACAAGAACAAAGCCCAGCAACGGAAGGCCCTTTGTTACGTACGAGCCTCGCTCACGCTCTGCCATCGTCCCAGCATACATCATCTGGAAGCCCCTCTGGTATTAAGCATTTGACTAGTACATCACTTCAACCAGAAGCTTCCGAACAAGCGAATGTGACGGTCACAGAAGCAACAAAGCATGCTTCAAAGGCCCATACGAGCACGGCAACAGCAGGTACATCGCACCCATCTCTGTCGCACCAATCGGTTAGCACGCTTAAAGAGAGCCTGGCAACGGATGAGCATGCTATGCTGTCATCGTCCGAAAGTCATTCAGTTATGAAAGCCACTACGGCGCACCTGCCCAAAGGATCCGAAGAAACCATTGCGACGTCAACATCAGTTGAAAAGGATGTTACAGATGCTTCAATAGCATATGCAAGTACGCGTACTGAAAGCACGTCACACCCACCTCGGTCACGGCAAACGGCTCATCCGTCGAGTAGACATGAACAAAGCCTGTCGACGGAAGAACATTTTGCACCTGCAGGTTCTTCGCAAAGTCACCCAGTAGTCACCCAGCCTGCATCGCCTGAAATCTCTTTCGTGACGACTGCACACCTTCGTTCAACAACTTCTGAGCAAACCTTTACGCCGGCAACAAAACCCACAGAACAAGGCCCACATGTCCCACAAGGTCTAACTGGCACGCATGCTGAAAGCACAACGCACCCACCTGTGTCTCAACGATCAGCTGGAACGGCCAGTATTAGAGAAGAGCAGGCAACAGTGGGTTTTTCCATACCACCTTCATCGGTAAGTCCCTATGTAGAAGAAGCTGTAACAACATCCCGTACTGAAAGTCCACAGGAAACAACATCCTTTACAGCAGAAACGAGAGAACATGCTTTAAACGCTTCACGAACTCATACAAGCAGGCATGCAGAAGACATTACACGCCCACCTTCGTCACGGCAAACAACTCACGTGACCACCATACAAGAACAAAGTCTGGCAACCGAGGAACAATCCGTACCTGCTTCATCTCAACGTCCTTCTGGTGTTGAGACAACTTTAGTTACCCACACCGAAGAACCAGAAGAAACCGCATCACCGCCAACCCAGGGTACGGAACGTGCTTTGAATGCTTCAGCAATTCATGCAAGGACTCATAGCACAGCACACCCAACTGGGTCAAGAGAAACAGCTCACACAGACAGCACACATGACCAAAGACCAGCAACGGAAGGTGAATCATTACCGACGAGCTTCGCACATGCTCATCTATCGTCTCAGCATGCATCACCTGGAAGTCCTCCTGGTATTACGCATTTGACGAGTTCATCACTTCAACCGGAAATTTCCCAACAAAAGACTACGACGGTAACAGAAGCCACAGAGCATGCTTCTTATCATTCAAAATCATATACGAGCACGCATGCTGCAGGCCCTACACGCCCACTGGTGTCACAACAGTCTCCCGGCACGGTTAGTATGCCTGAAGAACGCTTGACGTCTACAAAGCATCCCATGCCGACATCGCTTGAGAGTTCCTCTTTTACTGAAACTGCTACAGTACCCCATTCCAAAAGTTCAGAGCAAACCTCTGCACCATCAACAACGGCTCCTGATCGGGCTTACAATGCTTCAACGGCTTACACTGCAAGCCATCTTCAAAGTACAGCACATTCCCCTGCGTCAAGGCGAACAGTTCACCTGACCAGTGCAAAAGAACAAACCCTGTCAACGGGAAAATATTCTGCTCCCACTTTATCGGAAACATCTTTTGACATTGAAACAACTATAGTGCTTCGTCCAAGAAGTTCACATGAAATGACTGCATCATCAACAGGAACCAGACCCGTTACCATTACTTCAACAACTCAATTCAGCACGCACACAGAAAGCACGACACAAAAATCTGCTTCACGACAACCAACTTACGTTCCCAGCACAAAACAACCAAGTCTGGTTACGGAGGAACACCTTGTGCCCACCAGCTTCTCCCATACTCACCCGACAACACAACTTGCATCATCTGAAATTCCCGCCAGCATTGAGAACATGACGACTAAAGCAGTTCATCCTGCAAGCTCAGAACAAATCACTGCGGCAGCAACGGAAACTACAGATCACGCCTCTCACGTTTCAGAAGGACATACCGGTACACGTGCAGAAAGCACTACACAACTACCTGTGTCAAGACAATCAGCTAGAACGGCTGGCACGCGTCAAACTGTTGTGCATGCAACAGTAGCTGTGGATCACGCTTCGAACGCATCCGTCGCGAGCACGCAGGCTGAAACCACAGTACATCTGCCTGTATCGCGGCAAAAGGCTTACATGGCCAGCACACAGGAAGAAAGTCTAGGACCGGAAGGTCATTCTGCATCTACCACCTTCCAGTCCTATCACCCAGCGACTCAAAGTACGTTATCTGGAAGCCCTGCTAGTATTGGGAGTATAGCGACAGCACCAATGCATGCGGCAACCTCGGAACTAACCAATCCGCCTGCAGAAGAAACAACAAAACCCCTTTCTCATGCTTCAAGAACTCGCACAAACGCGCAAGGGGAAATTACAACACAGCATCATGTGTCAGAGCAATCAGCCAGCACGGCTTTCCTTCCAGCCGGAAGCATCGGAACGAGAGAACATCACGTACCGCCATCCTCTGAAAGGCCCATAATAACTGAATCTGTTACAGTATTCCATCCCGGAAGCCCACAAGAAAGCACTGTAACATCAACGGAAGCTGCAGAACTAGCTACAGATTTTTCCGTGCGTTATACCAGCACTCATGTTGAAAGCACAATACACTCAGCGGCGTCACGGCAAACGGCCCATGCGACCAGCACTCAAGGGAAAATCCAACTTGTCTCAGGACAAACAATTAGTACGGCTGGCATTCCGGCAGAAAATATGACAACAGAAGAATATTCCGAGACGCCAACATCTGAAAGACCTAGTGTGACCGGAGTTGCTACAGAAATCCATCCAAAAGGCTCGAAAAGAACCGCTACAGCGTCAACCGAAGCTGCCGAACAAGCCACAAACGCTTCGATCACTTTTACCAGCACGCTTGCTGAAGGCACAGCATACCCAGCCGTGTCGCAGCAAGCCGCTCACACCGCCAGCACGCAAGAACAAAGCCTTGCAACGGAAGGTCATTCTCTGCCTTCAAGCCACCCGCATACTTACCAAGCCACCCAGCACGCATCATCTGAAAGCTCAGGTGGTATTGGAAGTGCGACGGCTGCAACACTTCATGCAAAAACTTCTGAACAAACCGTTCCGCCAACAGCGGGAACTACGGAACGTGCTTCTCACGCTTCAGAAACTAGCACAGGCGCACAAGCAAAAAGCACAACACAGCATCTCGTGTTACGGCCATCAGCTAGCACGGTTAGCATTCCCGAAGCAAGCGTGGGAACAGAAGAACATTCTGTACCGCCATCATCTGAGCGACCTCCTGTTACAGCAGCCGTTACGGAAGTGCACCCCAAAAGCTCGAAAGAACCCATTGTGACGTCAGCAGAAATTGCAGAGCCATCTCAAACGGCTTCAACAGCTCATGCGAGTAAGCTCACTGAAAGCACAGCACATCAAGCCACATCACGGCAAACGGCTCACACTACCAGCACACAAGGACAAGTTCAGGAAACTGAAGGCCCTTATTTAGGTTCCAGCTTCCCACAGACTTGGCAAGAGACCCAGCGCACGTCATCTGAAAGCCCTGCTGGTGTTCGGAATACGACAGTTGCAATAATTCATGCAGCAACTTCGGAGCAGCCCATGGTGTCATCCATGGAAATCACAGACCTTCCCTCTCATACTTCAACAAATCGTACAAGCGCACGAGCCGAGAGCACAACCCAGCAGCCTGTGTCAGGGCAATCGGCTACCACGGCAAGCATGCCTGAAGAAAGCATGGAAACGGAAGAATATTCGATAACGACGTCATCTGAAAGGCCCGCTGTTACTGAAGCCGTGACAGCAATTCATCCCAAAAGTTCGGTAGGAACCCCTGACACATCAAAAGAAGCTGCAGAGAAAGTTGCGAATGCTTCAACATCAAGCGCACGCACGCATGCCAAAACCACAACACATCCAGCCACCTCGCGGCAAACGATTCACATGCACAGCACACAAGAACAAAGCCTGGCAACGGAAGGTCCTTCAGTAACCACTAGTTTCATGGGCGCTCATTCAGGGACCCAACGCGCGTCAACTGGAAGCCAGTTTGTTGTTGACAACGAGACAGCTACGGTACTGCATCCCGCAAGTTCCTCAAAAGCCTCTGAGGAGGGAACGGAAACCCCGAGACATGTTTTCCCTGCTTCGAAAACACATGTTACCACGCATCAGGAGAGCACATCCCACCCAGCTGTGCCAGAACAAACCATTACCACGCCTGGCACACCCAGGGAACATCTGGTGACAAAAGAACAACCTGCACCGCCGTCATCCGCACGTCCTTTGGCCACCGAAACTACTTCAGCACTTCAATGGGAAAGTTCCGAAAGAACCATCACAACAACAACAGAGGCTACCAAATGTGCTTCACATATTGCGGTGGCTTATGCAAGCACGCGTCCTGAAAGTAAAACGCACGCTCCAGTGTCACGACAAACGGCTCAGGCGGCCAGCACACAGGAAACAAGCTCAGCAACGGAAAGTCACCTAGTTCATCCAAGCTTGCCGGATACTCACCCAAAGACACATCCTGATTATGGGCAGACAAAATCTGAGAGCACCCAGGGTTTCGAAGAAGTAAGTTCGACGCAAGGTACTGAGAGGTCGACTTCGTCCACTGAACATCCAGGTCAGTGGAATATTGAAACGTATCTGTGACTTGCATAAGTAGCCATTTTTTGTGTTGTTTTTCTCATCCAGTATGCAAGAGAAAACATGGATTTGCTCAGGCACGCGAAAACGCCCTTGATAAGACACCGAGAGGTATTTGTGCCTCAGAGATGTGCACAAGTGATGTTTTTCAACACTCGCCCTGATTCGGCTTTCTTAACACGGACTAATAGGGGAGGGGAGGTGTCGATGCGACCCCCCTATCGTTTCCAAATTAAGGGAGATAGAGTCTTGCGGAAACAAACATAGCATTGTTGTTAACGAGGTCTCGCGATTGATATTAGGGTTTATGTTGCTTGGTCGATAATTCACGCCAGTGCGCCAGGTCAATGGTCAGAATTTCCTGAAAACCTGACTTTTCCAGCATTACATGCTCATATCTATGTGACCACGACCCGCAGCGACACGAAGTTTAACAGTCGTGCTCCTTGTTTAATTCTGGGTACAATTACATGTAGTATATATGTTTGGAGCTATGATGTAGGGTTCTGTTAATGTAACAGTGTCGACTCGCCGCACACGGTCCTCGAAAATCGTCGGTTGCCGCCCGCCGCCGACGCCGACCGTAAATCACCGTGCAATGTTTCTGAAAAACGTAACTTCTCAGAAACCAGAAAACTAAGGACACGTTTTCAGCGTAAAAACACGCGCATTCACTGCCCAGAGACCACCGAACGTTCGGGAGCGATTGCACGACATGCCGGATAGGCACCCTTAGAAAACCTTGGCACCCTTAGACTTCCTGTCAGGCCGCGGATTGAGATTACGACCTGATGAGATCCAGCACTTCTGACATTTGCTGGAATAAGGCGGTGAATAAGCTTGACAGCTATCACTGCTAGATGTATTGACGCCTCAATCCGTCAGTTCTATTCGGTTATTGTACCTGAAGTTTCCCAGATATCACCTTTTTGAACACTAACCATTTCTGTGCGCATTTGTACCAAAGAAAAATGCCATTATCAGTTCTGACCACATATGTTAGCCTTAAACATGCAGCCTTAGACGGTTGAATATACTATTCTTTATGAGACCGAGGTTTCGGAAATCTACAGGCTGCGGAGTATGCTGTGATTATGTGCATACTGATTGCTTCCAAACTTTACAGCGTGCAAATGGGACAACATCACGTCTAGCAGACCCGGAACCATTATCCGGGACCCTAGTCGCTGTCTGCATGTGGAATGTGTGCAAACTATACACGGAAGCTTTGTTGACGTCACCATCGTGCACGAAGCAAGAGGATGTAAGTATATGCGTTTCGAAGCCCCTGTTCAACTAACGAGTTGCGTTCACAAAAACACAAACTATTTTTGCTCAGTGTAACGCATTTTAGGGATCTCCAGCTGCGTTAGAGTGCTGGTCTTTGCTGCCTGTGACTGTCAGTGAGCTTGACCAATTTTGGACTTTGATTAAGGGTGCGAATTATTTGGCTTAGGGAACTATAAGGTGAAATACATGCTGATTGCAAAGCATCCGCCAACAGGAGAAACTTCTATGCTGCAATAAAAATGTTTTTTAAAGCAAAACATTAATAAATTGAATCCGAATGGCGTTCCATTGGGCCTTTGCATTTTATCCATGCATGAAAGGTATGCTTTCGAACTCGTTGCCGACAATTGTTGTCATCGCTTGCGGAAGATATCTGGCTTCACTAGTTTGGCTTTTGGCATTATCTCGTGATGGCTGGGAGTTCACACATCTGCTATCAACCGTACATCTCACGATGCACAAGGCATCTCTCCAGTAATATGCAACATATTCTCCCTCCAACAGGTTGCGAAATGAATGGCAACACCATGGTCCCAACGGGCTTTGTGAGGTTTACACCTCTCGGCAAAAAGAAGCGTTGCTTCTTTGGACGCTGGCACACACAATACTTCGATCCAGCGTTGAGTGAGTGCAATCGTAAACGAGCCGCGTGTCTGCATATTGTGACCTCCCAGATGTTTGCAGTGTGTAAGACTCTATCATATGAAAGGCAATCCACAGCGCTATCTCATTCAACATGGCACACGAAGCATTATTTCACGAACAGGATTTCAAATTGTGAATAGCTAGGTCTAACCATACAAGGTTTTTGTTCACCATGTGCCACGACCTTAACATATTGTTAAAAGGTGTGCTCCAACTTTGCATGAGGGCTTTGAATTGTAAAGCTATCAGCCATCTAGAAGGTCACTCGGTGCGGTTCTCAGCCCCGCCGTTCTTAAGACCTAAACCGCTTTAGTTTCTGAGCTACTCGACCGCGAAGATGTGCAGACAATTTCGTGCAGGCTAGTTCAAGGTTACTCAGGCATCCATGACACCATACTAACGCCATTGAAATCCTGCCATTAAATTATTCACGCAGCGATCAAGGCCAATAAGATAGCATTGCTATTTCGTATTATGTGACGTTCGTGAGCCCGATTTCCAAATACATCGGCTGTCAATTGGCTCTCAATCAATGTTGTGCAGCCCAAGATGGCTTAATCAATTAATACTTATTGAGAAGCATATGCACTAAATGGAGAGACTGAGTTGTCTAGAACAGTTTTCTCCCCTAAGAGTGCACTAATAACGTGAACTTATTTCATCATCTGATGCATCAATAGCTTGAAATGTGGAACATTTCCTCTGACAAAGCACCTGAAAGTTATTTTGTAGTGAAGGTCTGCACACATTTCTAGAAAACGTGCAGAACATCTTATTGTCGCCGCTCAAGCATTTTGTTAGATACCAGACGTCCTCCTAATGACGACCTAGAGCCATTATGATTTCGATAAGTTTTTCGAATGGACTAGATCGGATCGTAAATGCCCCATAGACGTAGGTGCGGGTGTGATTAATTGGATTCAGAATTTAATGATACCAGGTCAGACGGAATAAGCTGAACTGCTGAATATCATTGAGTAAGTGTGGCTTGTTCCAGTACTCTGCATAGTTTATGAGTTCTGTTAAATTTGGTTGAAATGTCATGAATCAACTCTCGCTCTACTACGATCTGATGCTCAGGACTTTTCCAGAATAGGCTCTCAACGCTTTGGAGCACGGCATTCAAATTCGCCAGCTGAGTTTACACCATAGTTACACATGCCATCAACATTTAAGTTTCTGAACTTGATGGTCCACGATCTATACCCTACCTTTACCTTTCTCAAGGTCACGTTGATGACACTGCTAAAAAAACGACAACTAAGTTTTATTGAAAACAGGCAACACATTATTGGTAGGTATTCTAGGCTCTCTATCTGAAAGTAGAGCAAAAATTTTATACTTTTTATGATGGTTTTGTAAATCTGAACGGTGTTACGATAGTTTTGTTTGCTTTTGGAAAGCCATGCCATCTAGATTTAATCTAGATCAAACATTGACCTTTGTACCGAGATTTGACGTTTTGAAGTACATAAAATTGAAATCTCTATCTTATATCTACACCACATAATCTATGATGATATTTCATCCACCCTCATTGCATTTACTTACAGTGAATCTAATTACAGTACATTTTCTTAAATTACATCTACTTACATTACATTAACTTACATTGCATCTACTTACAGTACATCTTCTCACATTACATCTACTTACGTTACATCTACTTAAAGTGCATCTATGTTGCATCTATTTACATCACATCTACATGTTATCTTGCACCATATCTTACAGGTTTGAAAGGCCTTTTAAGCCCGGTTGTCCTGCCAAAGTTCGCATTCAGCATTGTCCAGTCACAATTATATGATAAAGTCTGTCAAGAGCTTTCCAGTGCCTTTTCCCGTGGCTCCAGCTTGTTTAGTTTTCAAGATCTCATGGGGCTCTTGGGTCCAATGTAGGGCGATGGTAAAGCAACCCCCGTAAAGAAAAGGGATACGATGGATTTTGTTTCTTTTATTGCATATGCCTCACGGGATGACGGGTGACGGTATAAACTTTCCTTCCAATCTTCAGCATTCTGATGAAGTTTTTGTCGGCGAAGTTTCTTGTCTCGTCAATTTTCTTGTCGGGAGTAAGTTTTCCCTGCATAAGGCCCAGGCTGAAATTTGTCCGCAAGTGGAACTGGGCGACCATTCCTCCAACTAAAGTTAGGCAGGCATTTTGCGCATTGTGAAAGTCGACCCACGTGGAAATCACGGTGCCTGTCGTGTGGTAGAAACGTTCAGCATGAGTGCTTATAACACACATCAATTTCATAGGCTAGTTTCAAATAAGTACATCAAATGTTTAAGGATCTTGTGATCGGTCTTACGTTGATTCAGCGTCATGCACAACATTGCAACGAATATCTTTTAATAAGTTTGATCCGAACACTGAATGGGTGTATTCCTCAGACCAGAGCTCACACTAAGCAGTGCTTGCTGTGCGAGCACCTGGCACCTGGTCGTGAAATCGGGTGCCAGGCGTCGGATCGTGAAATCAAGTTAACGGTAGAATTTGGTGGCAAAAGCTTAACGTGCTGGAATACTCAGCACTGTCCGTCCTGCCCTCTAACGTCATCTGACCTTAAGAGCGGCAGCTGCCACCGGCGTCAGGCTTTTTCCGCCAGGGGTAATAACGAGCGTCTAAAGCGCCTCAAACCCACCCCGCCACGGTTCGAAGGATAGGAAGGCACACACTCCGACCCAAGGAGCTATCGGGGCAAACCATAGAATGTGTCAACAACAAGATGTCAAAAAGCGTTTGAAGAACATATTTGTGAATATACGAGAAGTACCTCCTTGCTCCCACATAGCTGCAAAAGTGCCGAGAGCTACATAGAGATCGCTCCCCAAGTATAGCTAATTTTATTAGAAGAGATTAGGTTCATCGTGCTGTTGCACAAGTGGCGCTTAGTTGTATTGCAAGCTAGAGGTCTTCTTGAAATACAACTAGGCAAACGATAATCTGGGTAATCGAAAAATCCCATTCATTAGCAGAAATATCGAGTCCCTGGCCGGCACCTTAAATATATTTTTTAAAGACACCTTTTGCGCTGAAACGTAGAACCGTAGTATGGGCCGTAGTAAGCGTTAACAATGTGTACCAGAAGCTTT